GAGGCGGATGCGTCAATCGGGCAGTGACACTGGGGGCCAACAAGGTAGAAGATAGTGGCAGGGTCATGAATAATAGAGTTCAAAGTTTTGGATATTGCTTTCAGTTGGAGCGTGGTGATCTGATTGAGGTGATGAGAAAATAGGGAAAAGCCAGTGCTGCCATAAGAATTGGTAGGTGGTGAGGAAGAAGACCAACACTTCAAGTTGAAAATAACAACTCAAGGAAGTTGGCAAGTGCAGAGATTTCGTGCCAGTGAGATATGATGTTGAAGTTGAAGGAGGAAAGTGCGAATTGTCATTGCACAGTTGAATGCTGCCCGTTGCTGCCGCCAAGGTTACGCGATAATTACCTCTCACGGTAAGTTATAATGTAATTACGTGAAAAGGAAGCTTGGGCCAAGTGGTGCAATCCAATTGCAAACGTGGGCTGATTTTTACGTCGGGATCGATTGGCCCGCGCATCCGGCAGGCAGCGCAGTGGAGTTTGTTCATCCCGTCCACCAGCACCTAGCCGGTACCTGAATACAAAGTTCACTCCATCGGGACTCCGGGAGATCGACTTTGACTTTTGACGACGACGACCTCATTTTTTTTTTTGGGTGGTTTGCCATTGTCGGCTCAACTTGGTCGTCATGGCCTTCTTTCAGCTTGGGTTACGCCGGGCAGCTGTCCAGCTGTCCAGGCCATCCGTCTTTTGCGCCAGAGCTGCTTTCAATGCCTCTCAGCAACAAAAGCTTGTCCAGCTTGCGACTCCTGCTTCCACCATCTTGAAGCTGGTGAGCCAGGCTCGTCACACCCAGTCCCGCAACTATGCTACCCAGAAAGTCCAAGAATCTCCCCTCAGCAAGCTCGCTACCGATATTGCTCAGCCCGCCCCGTCCTCTGATAAGTCCGAGAAGAAGTCCAGCTTCCCGGAAACCAGCTCGAAATCTGTCGCCTACTGGCTCCTCGCCAGCGCTGCTTCTGTCTTTGGTATCGTCATCTTTGGTGGTCTGACTCGCTTGACCGAGTCTGGGTACGTGATACGAGCAACCTGATATGCTGTTATGCCTCTGTCAGCCTGACACAGATCACTAATCGTTCCACAGCCTGAGTATCACGGAATGGAGACCCGTCACGGGTTCTCTCTGGCCTGGCTCCCAGGAGGAGTGGGAGTCCGAGTTTGAAAAGTACCGCGCCTCCCCCGAGTTCAAGATGCTCAACTCGACCATGAATCTCCAAGAGTTCAAGCAGATCTACTTCATGGAGTGGACCCATCGTCTCTGGGGCCGCTTCATCGGCATGTCCTTCGTCCTCCCCACCATCTACTTCATTGCTCGTCGCCGCGTCACCCCTCGCATGGCTTGCACTCTTGTTGGCATCTCGGCTCTCATCGGCTTCCAGGGCTTCATTGGTTGGTGGATGGTCAAGTCCGGTCTCAAGGATGACCTCTTTGCTCCCGGCTCCCACCCCCGTGTCAGCCAGTACCGTCTCGCCGCCCATCTTGCTACCGCCTTCGTCTGCTACTCCTGGATGCTTCTTGCCGGTCTCAGCATTCTCCGCACTCACAAGGCCATCAACTTCCCCGAGCAGGCTGTCAAGAACTTTACTGCTCTCCAGTCGCCAGCCCTTAGGGTCCTTCGCGGTTCCGTCGCTGCCCTCACTGTTCTGATCTTCACCACTGTTCTTTCCGGCGCTCTCGTTGCTGGTCTCGACGCTGGTCTCATTTACAATGAGTTCCCGATGATGGGCAACGGCCTCGCTCCCCCCAAGTCCGAGCTTCTGGACAAGTTCTACTCTCGCTACGAGGATGGCTCTGACTTGGTCTGGCGCAACATGCTCGAGAACCCCTCGCTCGTCCAGCTTGACCACCGCATCCTGGCCATGACCACCTTCACTGCTGTCTGCGCCCTGGTTGCCTACAGTCGCTCTGGCAGGGTCAAGGCCGCCCTCCCCCCCGCTGCTCGCAAGGGAATCACCGGTCTCCTCCACCTCGTCTCTTTGCAGGTTGCTCTCGGTATCAGCACCCTCATCTACATGGTTCCCATTCCCCTGGCTGCTGCCCACCAGGCCGGCGCTCTTGCCTTGTTGACCGGAGTTCTCGTTGCTGGCCAGCGCCTTCGCATCCCCAAGGCCACCTTAGCTATGGCCCAAAGACGACTGGCCCAGTTGGCGCAGCAGGCCAAGACTCAAGGCCCCAAATGATCAGCACAAGCACAATGCTATATCGTGTAACATATCTGTAACATTATCTCAAAATTTTGGCGGTTAGATATACCCGAGGAGTTCAGGATACACGTGCATCTCCTCACACAATGGCTGAAGTGGCCACTCTTATGCCACTCTTTTCCTGGCGACAATTCCTTCATGTGAAACAGGCTCTCATCAAACACGACGTTGCACAACCTGAACCAGCATCTACCAGCTTCGGATCCCGGCAGTCGATAATCTTTGTGTGTACCATGTCCAATTCCGGAACCTTGAAAGGCCCTATCACTACTGTCGCATGTCACTTGAGGACAGTGCGGTCTCGAATCCTGACTTACGTTGGGAGCAGGATACCAATCCGATGCAGTGGCACCAGCTACCAAGTGGTGGGCTAGAACCCTGCAGAATGCCCCAATGGTAAGACAATGGAGGTCTTGCCGGTTCGACTCAGTGAGTCCATAGAGGCGAGCTTACACAGATACCCGGCATTCGTCCTCAGATGATGAAAACAAAGATTGAGTGTCGTATTGTGTTGTTACCCCTGAACGTGGGAGAAGGGGGGACGAACCAACCGTCCACGCGGCCCAACGTTCTCTTCACAGTGCCAGTGCGGCAAGACCGGCATGTCGTCACATTATACTGTGCATATCGATAAGAAGACCCAAACTAGAGAGAAGTCCGAAAGTCCTGGACTCCTGGCGCCAATGACAATGGCATTCAATGTCCCAACTTCCACAAACACACCAGGATTATACCAACTTTCAGTGATGTGCCGCAACGGAAACTCCCGAATGAACCTTGATTTCGCCATCTGATTTCCCCTTCGGGCCACTTGCAGCTCGAGTTCGGATATAACTGACGATAATCATTGCACAGTTCGAGTGCCCGACGCCCAAACAAACAGCCATGCACGATATCACATTGTCAAAATGTAAGCCGGGATTTGGATGATGTCCCGAACGATAGAAAGATGAAGCACCGAGCCTTTCATGACCTTTCGCTCAAGATTAAAGTAGGCATTGATTGGCTGTCTTGTGAAATGGTCCTCAGACTGCTGAGGAATAAAGCTTACACCGTCGACTCCACCTGACGAATAGGTTTCGGAATTCACGGTCATCGTCACAATGATCAAGAAAGTCTTGATGATGGTGGTTGTCCTCAGCCATGTTTAACACATACAAATGGAGTCCTAAGCGCAGCACCCTTTTGTTCCTACCCTCCTTGAGCCTCAGCCGGCCACATGCGGCCGACAGCAACAACATCGACCACAACCACAAACCCACCAAAACACCACCCCACCCTCTCATTGCTTAGCTTGGTTGATCAACAGCTTCACAATATCAGTGGCCGATACATATGTCAAACATGCAAGTGCTACCACTCTATGTTATATGAGTTGGGCCATTGTATGAATGCATACCTGTCCCGCGATGTCTTGGCCCTATCCAACTGGTTGGAACATTACCTAGGAGCCAGAATAGTGTGGTCCAGGCAAGAAAGACATTTCCAAGTCGGAGTCTCAGAGCCTCCGTGACCCCGTTCTTTGTTTGGTTCCCCCTGGTTTCCCCATATTACTAGTGTAATTGTAACCCACTATATGCCTCGCCAACTCAGGGATGAAGGCCCTCTTGTCGCCAAATCACATCCTTATTTCTACAGGTACCCAACCGCATCGCGCCGATCTTGGTTGCGGTTCGGGTCGTCCGACCACTGCGAGGTTCCATGCTCCGGTGATTTGCCCCCGCTCTGCAGGTTTGCAGCTCCTTCCCGGTGCCGATGATGAACTAAACTCTTGAATGGTCAACGAGACGTACCACTTAGGCGCCGGCTAGTGCCCTCATGCACATTTGGCACCTTCAGGAACGATTGTGGTCTGCTTCCGAATGCCGCGAATTCAGACAGAATGACTATTTCCACAAATAATTTGCCTTTAATCCAGAAGGATGCAGTCTGAATGACGACACATACGGTAGCATATGGGGGGAGGAAACATTTGTTGTCCTCTAAACTCCAAGTCAATTTAAGGCTGGGCGAGTCGACTCCACCTTTAACTTCTCAAGTCCGCATCTACTCTTCCTTCCGCCTCCTCACTTCCTTGGCGAAGCAAACCTCCTCTTTTCCACGAATGAGAAGGAAAAGCGCGAAAAGAGAGTTCACATTGCTCAGCAGTGTAATACAGAAACTTCCAGGCAACTTCACCTTTTCCATCTATCCCTGTCACGCCTATCTCCGAGACGTATGCAAGTTCGGGACAGTCAAGTCTATCCCAATAAATACCTCCAACCTCACGACCAAATTCAGCGTCTCACGACAGGACGTTCGTGTTCCCACAGCGAGAAACCAGCTTGACCCTTGCACATCAGAAGAAAGGTTCATAAACACCGGTCCGAGTCAAGACCTTGTCTGGTTTATCCTTCACCTTTCTCCCCTCTCCACTTTCTCCATCCCCCACCTTGTTCATCAAAACTGCCACAGCTTACAACTGCGTGCAGAGCGATGTCTCTTTCTATAACTCCTTGACCAAACGGGTAATTGACGCCGACGAACACTTTTACTGTTATCAGACAGTCTGTTCCTCGAGTGGTCAACCGGAGTGTTTTCATTCAGCTGGCATTGTCATTCCAGCTCCATCGCCTCTATCACCTCAAAGTTTACTCGGAAACGGTTTCACATCGTTCGACATTTCCACACTTGACCGCAAAAAATTGCCAAGTTACTCGACCTCTAGAGGACTGGAATTACGATAATATCTACATCTCAGAGATAAACTCTGGCGTCAGTGCTCTCCTGAGTGGTTTATCAGAACCCGAAGGCGACAACTGGTCACGATTGTATGACGAGACCATTGGCTGGGTTAGCCAGCAATTCGTCCAAGTGTTGAACCAGTACCGAGATCAGCGGTGATTCCACGGCGTGTTCATTCTCATATCATAACTCAATAATACTCGTGAGTATCTATTTCACCATCTACTGAATTCTTACTTGGGGGGGCCTCTCCTAGTGTCCATCCATCCCCTCGCTGCACTGATGATGGAGCTTGGACCGAAAAAAGGGGCACATTCACATCACACATTCAACCACCCCGCGAACGTGATAAACACATTTTGCACTCATGGCACAGTGAACAACATGATCAACAGCCTCAACAGTTTACATTGCGGAGGACTACTTTGAAATGGGTTTTGAGGTTTTGACCTGTCGGAGGAGCGCGGCAACAGGCGTGTCAGAAACAAAAAATTTATCCACTCGATCAATGAACAGCATGTAAAGAAAAGAGGTCCCCTTCATCATTTCTACCACCTCCTCAACCTTCTCCATCCCTTTTTTTTCACATTAATTATGATTCGACCCCTTCTCGAGGATCCTCGCCAAGACCCTCTCACAAAAAACTCAAACTAACCCTCTAGAGCCCAGCTTCCAACCGCCACAACCACAACTACACCACAACCCTCCCTTTCAACTTTCAAAAAATGTGCACCCAATGGTTCTGCCTCTACGCCTGCGGCCACAAGGGTTTCTACCGCTATGACCCCTGCCAGGACTTTGGCACCAAATGCTACGGCGCCGGCGGCGAGCAGTCTCTCTTTTCGGTTGAAAACACGTGCGACGACTGCCAGAGCCGGGCGACGGAACCGAATCCCGAGGGCCGCAAGGACGATCCGTATCTGAAGGAGCAGAAGTACGTGCCTTGGATTGTTACTACTGAAAATGCGGCGGCGGCGAGTGCTGGTGGGGGGCAGGGGAAGTAGGTAAGGGGGGGATTAAGGGGGAAGTATGTAAGGGGGAAGAGGGATGGGATGTGAAAGATGAGGAGAGGTGATTGATGAGGAGGAGAAGGGAAAAGAGAGAGAACGGGGGGATGAGGATTACGTCGATAAGGAAGAGAAGGGGCGAAGGGATGAATGGATGGGGTGAGGAGAAGAACGGGAAGGTATGATATGGGCATATTCAGGATGCGTACGTCCCCTAGAAATGCCCGGATCGATCCCGGACCATATCTTATGAGCATTCGAAGTATCCAGCCTTTTTTTTTTCAATAATAAATAACAAACACTACACAAAAGTTCCACAAAAACATATCTCCAAACTCATCGTCAGTTCACTCCTGATGAATGAAAACCCAAGGGGACTCGGTGTCGGGTTGAACGTAGATACCCAGGGCACGGAGGAGACAAGAAAGAAAAATGTCTTTACACATTGGTCTACAAGATCAGTGAAGTTACCTACCAGCTCTAGAAAAGTTGAGCGAGTGTATCATCTTACTCTCATATCACAAGTCACGCAACTCCTTAGTATTCTCACAAGCCGAATCGAATGATCTTGCGAAACGAGCACTGTACATATAACGACCTCAACTTCCATGCTATATATTCGTCCCATGATAATCCCTTGACCTGATACGCAAGTAAGTAATACAAGCCATCTACCTAGAGGTACAAGTGACAGCAACATCCTCACCGATATCACAAACAAGGGTATCCATCACCAAGTGCCAATAGATGCGCAAACCAACCATTTTGATCTCACCATACCCATCTCATCATCACGAAGTTAGGTACCCATCAAAAGACCCCTTCTGATCAGCCATACTCCCCCTCTCCCCCAAACCTAGTACAACATCACTATGCCACAGCCTAGGTAACCAAACTTACATCCCGTCATAGAGGTGTTATCGTCAGGACGAATCTCTCGTCGATAGCGATACCTCGTTCGCGTCGGGGCGATCAGGGAGGCGTTGACAATGTTAGGTAACGTCGTGTCCGACATGCGGGGAGATGAAAAAACGAAGGCATTTGGTGAGAGCGGTGGTGAGGGGGAGCGGAGGCGGGGGCACCGTGGTAGTAGGTTAGTTCGAAACGAATGATGGCCGCCTAGACGGTTGCGGGGAATTTGGTGCGGGCAAAGTGTTGGGTGTATGGTACATGGTGCCCAGGCGTTCGATTCCACGGAGCGGTTGGATGTTTGTTAGTAATGGGTGCAAGTATGGGTTCGGGTAGTTCACAACGTCGTAGAAAGAAACTCGCAAGAGGGTGAGATATTCTTCCGAGAGAGGCATTCGGGGATGAGTATTTGGACGGAAACGGCTGGTGTTGTTATCTGGAGGAGGGAGGAGGTATGGTGATTGAGGGCGTCTTGTGTGGGTGAAAGCGATAAAGGTGGTTGGAAGTGACTAGGGATTGGGGTGAGTATTTGGACAGATGGAACTTTCAAGACAGAGTAGGGGTGAAAGTAGGGTTGATGGCCGCTCAGTTTCTCATGCCGCGTAACTTGTGGTGAAAAGAGAAGCACAATTCTCGATTGGGGGGGAAAACTTATAATCAAGGAAAAGCTACCTTCTTTGTTTCATCTGTTGCCTAACACACAATGTAGTGATCATTAGCACTTGAACTTCTGCCTCCGCGTCCCAACAATGTCAGCTAGCTCTTTGCACTATTACCATATCCCACATCAGGACGTATTGCTCGTCCAGACCAAGGAAGCTCTTGTTGTGGATGAACTGACGTGAAAATAGAGTATACACTGCGTCTCTTGTCCAAACTCTTTGCGTCAGTGATGAGAATACTTAGAGGGGCGTCCGATAAAACCTCGAAAACGGTCCAGCAAGGTAGAAAGGGAACGAAAAGACCATACAGCATGGTATGTAAGATAATGGTTGTGAACAGAGCACAAGGTCTGATATTGCAGGACTTGGTATATTCCACATCTAGTCGATCACCAAATGTAACATCCCCTTTGAACATCCCGCTCAGCTTAAAAGTTAGCCTGGCCAGTGAAGCGCTCATTCTGGACCAACTCAATCCAGTAGTTATCAGGATCAAGAACGAACGCAACGTTCTTCATGCGACCATCCGTCAGTCTCTTCTTCCAGTTGACCTTGAGACCCTCCAGACGCTCGCAGGCAGCCTCGATGTTGTCAACCGACACGCCTATTCATCGTTAGCAATTCATCCCATCCCCATCTTTCCTGTCAGGAAGAAAAAGACTCACAAATATGACCAAACCCTTGAGGCTGATCATTGCCGTTATGGTACGAAAAGTTCTCATCCTTCTCGGTGCCATAGTTCCACGTCAACTCCAACAGTCCCTCGCGATCCGCCGTGTTCTGCTTCTCATCTCCATACCCAAGGAAATAAAGGTTGAATCCGGCCTCCTTGGCCTCATGCGTCCTCACCAGCTTCATGCCCATAACCTCCTGGTAAAACTTGAGACTCTTCTCCCCATCCTTGACCCTCAACATGGTATGGTTCATCCTGTAAGTCTTCAGGTCCGTCTCCTTGACGCCCTCCGTCTCCTCCACCGGCTTGCGACCAATAATCTCCACCCAGTATCCATCCGGGTCCAGGGCAAAAGCAATGTGCTTCATGCGCCCATCGCTCAACTTCTTCTGGAACTTGTAACCTGCGTCCTCGAGGCGCTGGCACGCGGCCTGGAGGTTGTCGACGGAGATGCAGGTGTGACCGAAACCGCGGTGGGGTTCGACGTTGCCGTTGTTGATCTTGTAGTTGGGGTCGGACTCGGTGCCGTAGTTGTGGGTTAGCTCGATCAGACCCTCGCGGTCCCAGAGGTTGGCGCCCGCGGAGACGGCACCGGGAGCGTCGTAGCCGAGGAAGTAGAGATCGAATTTGGCTTCGGGGAAGGAGAGTTTCTTGAGGAGGGACATGCCGAGGAATTCGTAGAATTTGACTGGTCGGACTGTTAGTAATGTGTCGCCGGAGGGTAGACACAGGCTGTTGTTGTCAACGTACCCGACTCCTTGGGGTCCTTGACCCGGATCCTGTTGTCTCGATATCAGCACATCGCTCTTTGTTTTCTGCTCAATGACATCGCCCAGAATTGCCAAACTTACATGGAGTGGTTGAATTTGTAGTTCTGGACATCGGTAGTAGCCGCCATGTTTGCAAACGATCTTGTGAAAGCTGTTGTTGTTGATAATACGCATCCAAGTCAGCTCCCAAGCCAATCTCTTTTATGTGATGATTAGTCCATCTACCCCTTGACTCGAACTTACTAGGTCTAAACAATGTCGTCTTCTTGTGATTAAACAAAGCACTAGAAAAAAGCTTCAATCTCTGTGCCGCACGCGTTGTTGAGTTCATGAGTTTTTTTCTCTCACAAATCTCTCAGCTTCCAAAGAGCAAGTGACGTGGAAGAGAAGAGAATCTGCTGTAGAAAAGTGCCGTGCGGGGGGGGGAAGCAGTGGTGTCGATTTACTTGTACGGAAGGAGGCATGAAGCTATTCTAGTGGTGCTACTGTACTGAAAACACCATCATCGGAGCGCTTATTGCCGTGAGCGTTGGGGACGGTGAGGGGCTCTAGACAACTCCCTTGACAGCGGGTAAGGATTGACCCCACTTGATTGGAAATACGGTGTTGACGTCAGCGGAGCTTTTCTCCACATCGCTCAGTTATGTACTAGCTTGTGCTACAACGGGACCGACGGGAGGGAGCTGTCCGGCGGCGGCACCGATGCCGTGATACTGCAGTGCGGCGGTGCCAAAGTAAACAATAATCAGGATAGGAGGAATGACCAGTTGATGATGAGCTGTCAGGCGTCCACGGGTGTCCGTATGAACCCAATATGCCCCTTTACTCCGCCGGTTTTTCCATCCAGAAATGTATCATTGAGAAGCCAAAGTGATGAGACTGTGTGTACCTAATCGTGATACTGATAACCTGTGGTCCTAAAACGAAACACCACGAGAGGCAACAGCCCGAAATATCCATGCTTGATGCTAAAACTCCATGCCACTGACACCAACGAAAGACAAGGAGTAAGAGAAACCTGATCCGCAGTTATTGTCTGTACCTCAAAAATACAACATAATGCTTCATCTGACCGGCATCGCTCTTCTCATTCGTTTCCTGGCCGATTTTCGCTGATCCTTCCCTTTTCTTATACCCATTGTCTTCGTTATCCCCAGACATAATCCTGAGAAAAACCCTCTTCGTTTGTTTCTGTAGGTACCTCACACTATTCCATATTCTCCGAAGGAATCAGCTCAAGCAGCCCATCCACCTAAGATTTGCCGCCCTTGCGCTTCTTCTTTTTGCTCTTATTCTTCTTCCCTTGACTACTGCTCTGTCCGCCACCATTGGTTTTGGCGGATTCACTCTCCTTATCTCCGGACTGGTGCCCTTCATCGCCCGCCGTAAGCGGCAAAAGACCCTGAGTCTCGTCACCCGTCTCCGACCTGGCGGATGGCGTGGCTATCGACACAGTCACCTTGGCGCCACGGCCGTCGCCAGGCGAGGTTGCAGTGATGGCGTATTCCTCCTCGTCGTTGGAGCTGTTGGTTTCCAAAACCACCTTCCTGACACCTCGAGTCTCAATAATGTTCTCCGTTATACTTCCACTGCGAACAATTCCACGCCTATGGGGCAAGGGGCCGCTGTCGCGAATGCTGGCGACACTATCGCTACTACCGTTCGATCCATGGTCAGACAACCCGCTGGCCGTATCCGTGGCCGCATTCCGTTGCTGCCTCGTGGGCGTCTGTGTTGACTTGTCGACTGTATCTTGATTACCGCCCGAGTTGTCCATATCAATAGGTACTGCCGTGACAGCACTCTCTGCTGGAGAGATGAGCTGTGCGGTAGCGGGGCTAACACCACCGTAGCTCTGCGTCAGAGCTTGGATACCGTCCTTTGCGGTCGACTGTTGAGGTCTGAGGAGGCTAGTGGTTTCGTCATCTTCGTAGGAAGTCTCGGCAACGGCGCTCGAGTCGGCAATTGATGCAGCACGTGCTTGGGAGAGGTGTCCCGCAATCCCAGGTTTGATCTTTACTGTAGTTGAGCGAGTGCTCTTGGGGTTAATAGCCGGGTTGGAGGGTCCTAGGTGTTTCAAATGCTGCCTCAGTTCTTCGAGATTGGTGCGAACCGGAACCGTGGTGTTCACCATCTGGCCATCGACCCCAGTGGAGCTTCTCCGCATCATGAAAGTAGTCTGCTTGGGATCCCGCTCGTTGATGAGATGGGCCGCTTCTGAGACAGTGCTGCCCGCACCGGTAAGCGGCTCAACAATCTTTGACGGTGGAATATCAACACCGTTTGTCTTGCTCGAACCGGCGGCATCATCATGACCCCTGCTCATGGTCTTGCCAAGCACATCCTCGGAGACACGACGTGTGATTCTGGCCTTGGGTGCAGGAGTCAACCGGCGAATGGCCTTGTGGACGTCGATGTAGACATCCGATTCATCAATGATTTCCCTGAAGTGCGGTCAGAAAATTTCCCACTTTCAACTAAGCAAAGGTAAAGCCAAGACTTACTCTCCAATCAATTCCTCGATAACGTCCTCAAGGGTAACCACACCAATGGCACCATGATCTTCTCCGGGATATTCGGAAACAAGAACCATGTGGGACTTGCCCTCTTGGAAGAAGTTGACAATGTCCAAACAGCTGGTTTCAGGACGGGTCTCGGGAAGAGTGGCCAAGGGGAAGTCCTTGACCCTCTTGCAGTCTTCGGGGTCGTAAGTGATGAGGATCTTGACAAGCAACATGCCGACAAAATTGGTGGGGTTTCCGGTTTCATGGATGGGGATTCTCGAGTAGCCGGCTGACAAGATCATATCCATTGTTTTCTCATCCAAAACGGTGTCCTCTGCCATGACAAAAACGTCCTCCATGGGAGTCATGACACTGGCGACCGGCTTTTCCTTCAAGTCGAGTACCGCACTGATGATGGTGACTTCATCCTGGTTGAGGCGTTCCGAAACATCGCCGAGGTTCTTGTGTAGGGTGACCAACGTCTTGAGACCGCTCTTCTTGTAGACTGTGCCATGGTCTTCGCCAAGAAGCTTGTCGAGAAGCTTTGCAATCGGGTACGAGACGGGGGCGGTCAAATACATGAGTAGGAGGACGGGCTTGGCCATGTAGCCACCGATCGGAAGGCCGTATCGGACGCATAGCGACTGAGGAATAACCTCACCGAAGATGACTGGAAACAAGATATTAGACGAGCGGCATAGGTTCATGTGGAAATTAACGTACCAATCAAGACGGTAGAGCCGATGACAGCGGCAACGCCACCGCCGAGGCAACGGTCCAAAACAACGGGAAGTGTTTCGTTGACAATGACATTGGACAACAGCAGGGTAACTAGGACCCAATGTTTGCCACGCTGTAGTAGATCGTACACTCGCTTCGCGTTCTTTTGTTGTGGTTCGGTCCGGTCTCTCGCGAGTACTTGGAGATAGATGCCATCTTGGCCCATCAGACTAGGCGTCTGTGTCAGCTCTGTGTACTTGATAGAGGAAGATGCCGAGGATCAATAAACATACGCTATCGTCAAGCCGGCAAAGGCTCCTCCAACGAGGACCAAAACAGCGGAGACCAGATAGAGGACCCAAAGGCTGGCGCCGCCCTCTTCTGGCTCCTCGGAAGCTCCATGTTCAAGAATGCCTAGATGTATCGGTGCAGCCGTGACGGTGGAAATGCCCATGAACAGGGCGCGAGCAAGGCCGACCGTCAGCGAGCGTGCTGTTAGCAAGCCATTGGAACGGGAGGAGGCACCACGAAAATGTTGTGCCGTTCGGGGGGCTATCGACATTATTTTCGAAAGTTTACACCAGGGTCGGTTGCGGATGATCTGCGAGATACTCTGTCTGGGGTGGGTGGGTTGTTTTTATCAAAAAAAAGCTGGCGGTTGGAAGCTGAGGCTGTGTTTGGGCCAAGAAGATGCTGTTGGATGTGAGACTGGGCTTGGCGCGCTTTCCCTCGTTGAATCTCGCCGCTGCAGACAGAAGAGGAAGGACGCTCGGAGAATGCTGGGCGATAAGGAAGAGATTCAGTGAAAGTGCAGTGGTATATCGTGTCGATCAGTCACAAGCTCTGCCAGCTCCCGCTGCAAGCGATAGTGGTCCGATTGTTTTTTTTTGTTTTTTTTTAGCCCTTTTTTTTTCTGGCTTTGCGGATCGACGCTACACTACACGACGAGTGTGATATGCGCCGGCCGTGTCGTAGGATCCAGGGCCTGTATCCTTTGGCAATTCGGAGGAGACAGCGGCGATTTCAAACGGAGGCGGAAATACCCTTGTTGTTTTAGTCCGGATGGTGGTTGCCCGATCGCGAGACAGTTGGAACGAAGTTGGGGAAGATATCAATCAATGGTGAACAAAGGGAAAAAGCCAGAAAGTTACGGATCTTGCTGGGCACTTGGCGGCGGCGGTGCTACGCTGTTAAAGAGACTATGTAGAAGTGGGGCCATGACGACGACCGCGACGGGACCCGTTCCGATGACGATGATGGCAGCGGACAGCCGCCCGGAGCCTCTCATTGATTGGCCATACACCTGCTCAGTTCGGTACAGCGATTCAGACGGGCATGATTGGACCCGGCAGCAACGGGCCAGCGGGACTTGCAGCGGCATCTAGACTTAGAAAAACCGTTGAAGAATCGGGCCATCAAGGTGTCCGTCTGGGGTCATGAGGGAGCAATCTCAGAGCAGCTGTACGACCGATTGCTACACTGATTCACGGCAGGCCGCAGGACGAGGGCAGTAACAAGAGCACGCACAAGTTCCACAGCAATCATATCATGGTTATTTTACCTCTAGTCAAACCTGTTACTTAAGGTGAGTTCTTGGTAGGAGGTAGGAGGATACACAGAGCTTTGACAGCAAAGAAAAGATAAGTAAACAGCGGTGTTTCAAAACTGAAAGACTCGGACGATTCGAGTCCATCCTGGTTAAGTGTAGACGCTGCGTATGGGAACACGTTACAAACTTGACCAGACTGTCCGGGTACATAGTGTCGGTGCCAGCTCAAACCCCCCTGGTTGCCATCGTGTAATTGCTTCATTCGAGCTTTGGGCGTTTACATGTCTCCGTCCTTCGTCCCGGGCCTGACATTGGAGGCGGCACTCTCACATGCTCTAGAAGGGAGGTTTGTGGTTTTCGATAAGGTTGCCGGCACCTTCCGCATGTAGTCCCCACTTCCTACCCGCCCCCACCAAAGCACCCCCGGGCCGCTGTGGGGAGAGCTTTACACTAGATAGTGTAGCGCGCAGCCACTGAAGGTTTCTGGGTGGCTTAGTTGGAGGCTAGTCCCATATACAGAACCCTCATCTTACTAGCTACTGTACACTAGATTTAACCCACCAAACCTAACTGACAGAGACAGGACCTACGGAGCTGCCCGAAGCGCGTTTTCTTCTTCCATCTCAACGAAGCTTCGCGCGTCGAGGACTGCCACGACGGGAACAATGGTCACTGCCAGGCATGCGCAAAGCGAGGATCGCGCTCAGGCCTCTGACGACGAAGCCACCCTGGACCACAAACGAGTTCAAAACATGTTCACCGGCCCAACACTCCGACCTATAAAAAGGGTACGAAACTCGCTCGAATACATCCCTTCGTCCAAGAAGCGCAAGGCGGAGGAAACCAAGCCAGATGACGGTTCCGGCCAAGATGACGATTCCGGCCAAGATGACGATACACAGGTGCTTGAGGTGGTCAACTCGTTCAGAGGTACAAAGTCGCGCGACCCTCCTCTTTCTCATACCGAGCCGCAACCTGTCACGAATGGCGCAAAGCGCGGCAGAGGAAGACCTAGAAAGTATCCGCTGCCGGCGATGGCGCAAGATCAGCCAGCTTCCAAGACACATCTATCACAACGCGCTTTAGACCATATACAAGCTCTAGCCAGAGATACATTAAGTCCGGCAGAGGCACAACCTACTCGGGAAAGAGACACAGACGCCATCAAGATCGGAGCGCAAATGCCGATACGAGGATCAGATAGTGATTCGGATGATGAGTTTCCACCACTAGATGAGGTTTGGAAGCGACCAAAGAATCAATTGCCCGCCTCAGCCCAGCCAGAACCAAACCAAGAAGACGACTACGAGGAAAGGGAGGGCGACGATGTACGGGCCGTGGATGAAGATGAAGAGCAGCCAGACAAAGAGAATGAGGCCGACCATCGACTCCCTCGTGTCCCACCCAAGCCACGTTCTACTCCGGCTATATATCCGCTGCTTTTCGAAACTCCAGAAAGTGTCACCAACTCAGCCCGGGTGAAAATACGAGGCAGTAGCCTTATGTCGTTGCGAAATATCATGATGGGCCCTGGCTGGACAGATCTCGGCAAAGATTGGGCCAAGACTATCGTACAACCCTTCCGGGACAATGTTCGAAAACCGACGGCTACGTCGGAGATCAAGAACCTTTGCAAACACCTTCATGAGCTGACAATGCTATCTGATCGAGCTTCCCGAGCGGCCTCTATTACAAAGCAGAACGAGTATCTACGAGGCGTAGTGAAATGGAGAAGCAAGAGTATAGAGGCAATTCAGGACATTGTTTCAGTGTGTGAGCAACATCTGGCCCCAAATAGCGTCACTCGACAGTCATTAAGGCAAGACTTATTCGAATACGGCATCCCCATGTTGATTTTGGCGTTGTCGAGTGCGTACTGTCTTGGTGAAGTGGGTGGAGGACACAACGACATTGACGAGGGTGGCTTTCCCCAATCTGGTATGTTTACCAGTAGCACGGTTGACTATCTCCTTCGTATTACCGATTGGATTACGCGTCTAGAGACACGACTGGCACCCGATGTTGCCGACGATGAGGACGATGAGGACGTCGAGTACGAGCATGTGCTCAAGAAGGAGAGAGAAGACAGGCAACTTTTCAAAAGGTTCCTCGGTTCCTGGGACAAAACACTGCAACAAGCGTCACACGAATTAATTGAAGCCAAGTTTGCTCGGGACCAGGCAATCAAGAGAGCTCGTCAGGCAGCCCGTGAAGCTGAGCTTGCGAAAAGTGCGGCCAAGTACAATGCATTCGTCCTATCTACACAACGCATGAGGTCACAGTCGCGACCCTTGGACGAACTACGGCAAAAGGCAACAAGGTCTATAGTAATGCCACGTTCATCCGGGGTAGTCGCACCAGTGAGATCGGTACCCACAAGTCACCAGCAGCAACCCGGGTCTCGCGTGTCAACGACGTCGTCGAGTCAGCCAAGGGTCTCGACTATAAGGTCGACGTCCAAGCCTAACTATCCTATATGGTCGGACGCAAAGAAAATGTGGCTGTTAGACGAGCTACGAAAGATTGGGCCCAGAGTGTCTGATATGGACTATGAGGACTTGGCTGAGGATTTAGGGAAGCCGATCATAGAAGTTCGGTATGAGGCGGAAAGGCTGAGAGCGGTTGCGAGGTCAATTGCGGAGGAGAGGGGGACCAAGGTCGAACGGTGGGCCCAGGGTCGATGATTGATTTACCATCTCTCAAAGTGCTGTATCCCTCCAAAGTTTGGAAACCCTTACAATGCGCAAAGATTTTCCCCAGCTCTGACGAAACAAAGAGCCTCCCAACCCTCTGTGACCTTTTACAAGTATGGATAATGAACAATGACTGCTTTGTCTCCAAGACTCCGGACTGAGCAATGCAGCGTCGTGAACAAAGAAAGGGGGGTTGCCGCAACCGATATTCCAGGGAGCTACATTCCCTTTTTCCGGATCAGGAACGAAACCATAACCAACTGACTAAATGAACGAAAACTTATTTCTCCTCTTCTAAACTTCCCCATCTTCAGTTTCCAATAACAGAACCTCGACTTTCAAAAATTCTGCAACGACCTCGAAGCTGTTCATTCAACTTCCACTTCGGCATAACAGACAACACTACCTCAGCTCAGCCAGACAGATATACCACCATCAACATAGGTACCCATCACCAAAACCGACAACTATCAACCAATTAACCTAATATCATTTCTTACCACCCTCACCTGTCAACACAAACTCATTTGTTACTACCGCCCTCACCAACAAAAAATGACATCCCACCCAACCCCCCCTCCACCCCCAAGCACCCTCACCACTCCCAACTCCACCACCCCTCTCTACACCCTACACAAAACGCTCTCCCCCCCGAAGGCGTTCCCAGGCCAGGACCAAGGCCATGGCCAAAGCCAAAGCCAGAGCCAGGTCATTTTGATCCGCCGCTCCACCGACGGCGCCATCCTCCTCGGCACTCCCTCTCCTTCTGCCTTGCTCAACAACCCTTCCTATGCGAACAACAACAAGCAATTTTCCACCTTCTCGCCCCCTTCTTGTGTTTCTCCTGCTGCTGCACAGCCAGTAGATACGAATATAGTTCGGGAGTTGATGAAGGGCGCCATCCAATTCGAGGCGTCACCAGCCGGAGCAGGAACGAGAAGGGGAGGAACCGGAATAATAGGAGCTCCCGAAGCGGCGGCTAGGGTTCTGAATCATGAGAATCTGGTGAGTTTGCATGGGGAGTGGGTGAGCGGGGTGGTGGATGGGGTGGGGTCGATGATGTTGGGAGTTTTTGGTGGTAAAGGGGAAATGATGATGGGGAAGAGGAAGGTAGTCGACAAAACGGAGCGGTGGTTGGTGTGGGATTGGTGCGATGCGGGGAGCGTGAAGGGGTTGATTGAGTTTTATGGAGGCGGGGTGGGGGAGTGTATTATTTGGGGGCAGGTTGATGAGGTTGCTGCTGCTGCTGCTGCTGCTGCTGCTGCTGCTGCGAAGGGGTCGAAGACGAAGACGAAAAAGAAGGGAGGGTTTCCGAGAAAGGAAGAGCTGGGGACCATAGTGGTACAAGGAAAACCAAGTCAGTTCAAGTCGGGCGGTGCGTTCCTCCCAGAGAGTCTGGTCTGGCATGTTGGCTTGGGAGTTTTGCGGGCGTTGATGTACTTGCATGAAGGGAAGAGGGATGTGATCAGCGTCGAGAAGGATCCAGTGACTGGAGGGTTCAAGAGGGTGAGAAAGGTTCACGGCCCCCCTGAGACGGAGCCGGATTGGATGCCTATTTTGCATCGAGACGTCAGGGCGGAGAATATCTACATGCAGCATTCAAGGGGGATAGAGACGTATGGCGCGGTGAAGTTGGGCGGGTTCGAGAATTGTTATGTTAGTGCGGCGGTAGTGATGGCGCAGGATGAGGAGGAGGGGTTTGAGAGGGTGCCGCTGGTGGCGATGGAGAGGGAAGTGGTGGGCGAGGAGGAGTTGAGGAACCGGTGGAAGGAATGGCAGGATGAAAGATATGATGTTGATGTGGTATGACTTTCCTTTTTTCTTTGTTTTCTTTGAGCCTGGAAGGAAAACGAGTGATGCTAACGAGACAAAAAAAAATAAACAGTCCAGACGTCCATACACCCGCGGCAACGACCTCTACGCCCTCGGCACCATCCTCTACCACATGATGGTCGGCCGTCCGCTCCCACCCGTCCCGGAGGAGTGTCCTTTCTGCAAGTGTCACCACGTCCAGTTCTTGACCAATGCCCCCGGTGAAAAGAAAAAGGCTTGCACCCATATGAACTGCGACTACCAAGACGTGAATCACGAGGTGGATATTGGGCACCTCATGAAGAACGGTACCCGCGGGAAGTACACCAAGGGCCTAGCTGGGCTTGTGGGTGTGCTTTTGAGGCAGTACAGAAACGACGAGATGAGGGCTAGTGATATCCTGGATAGGGCTGGCTGGAGGGGGTACGAGGAGTGGAAGACGGCCACGCCGGATGGAAAGCTGTTCAAGGATGCAACGGATGATATGATGTTTAGAAAGAATAATGAGATTGTGGCGAAGAGGAATTTGGCAGCTCAGCAGGCTAGTCAGCCTATGGATGTATAGTTACTTGGGAAAAGCATGAGGTACGGGAGGTCAGAGGTGTGAATAGGAAGATGGAAAGGGGGTGCAAGAGGTGTAAGATGTAGCCTTAAGATTGGGGTATAGAAGGGCAACTGGTTAACAGACTTTCATCAAACAGTTCAAACAGCTGCATGGCGCAGCGGAAGCGCGCCGGGCTCATAACCCGGAGGTCACTCGATCGAAACGAGTTGCAGCTAAACTTTTTCGTTTTCCCAGCTTCGGTTTTAGCATTTTCATATTTTTTTTTTTTTCGTTCGACTTTTTTTTCCCCAGGATCTGCTGCTGGGTTTATGGCCCCGGTTTTTCCCTAGTCAAAGTGGATCTTATCACGTCAAGTTCCTGGTCTTTTTGTTTCCGGTATCGCAACATGACCTTTATCTCGATCCTCTTTTTGTCTCCAGGAGATCGTCACGATAATTTTGAGCATCGATTCTTCACCGGTACCTTCCAATTTGAGCTGTCTATCGTGACACCTTTTGCACCATGTTGAAGACCAAGGGACACCTACCTGGAACGAGGCTGTGGGGACAGTTGAAGCTCTTATCTTATCGATAAGTTACCGTGACAGTTCAGGTTCCAACTCCGGGTTTCTTGTTCCCAGTTCCACAACTGAAAGCAGCAACGTTGCGACAGTGAAGACCGGGTTGGAACAACAAGGCGACTTTGTACACTACCATTGCTCGACACACATCATACGATTACACCGTCTGTCTGGACAAACGGCACACTGACGACGACACAAGTCTGATGAACAGAAAAATACATAATCCTCATTAAGCGCTCGAAATTGCCGCCCTAGTACATAGTACACTAGACTATACTAGTACCCTCACGCACCTAGCTCGCCTCGGCCATCCTCCCCCCCTCCCCCTCCGGTCCAACAACGGCAGTTCGTCCCCGACCCGCAAACAGCGAGACACCAACTCCATTGAACAACACAACGAACCCACCTAGCGATAAGGGTACCTCAACCGACGATCCATCACTCCACGCTCTCTCTTCTGCGCCGTTTCTCTTTGTCCCCAAACATCACCTTTGTCGGGCAAAAGGTCGTCCGCATCTACACGAACGAACGAAACGATACTCGGCGGCACAACCGCGATCCTACGCTCTCAATTACGCCGACAATGTCACCTTCAAATGCCCCTGGCACCGGCGCTCCACCCCCGTTCTCCTCGACCCCAGACTCCACTTCGGCGACTACGACGGCAATAAGCAACTTGATGCCTCCTCCCCCGCCTCTGCTCCTCAGCAAGCGCGTCACCGCTTTCCTCCACGCAAACCTCTCGCCATATATCCGAACGGCGGCGCTGACCACTCCCGCCGGGAAGCTGCTCGCCCATGCTAGTAACGGGCTGAGTGCCAGTGCACTGAGGCGACAATGTGCCGTGGCCGCTTCGCTTTGGGGGCTCCATCACCCATCAGGCTCTGAATATGGTGGTGGTGGAGACGCGCATGGGGCGGGGGACCACCATGTGATTGGGAGTCCAACAGGGAGCACAGCAAGTCAGAGCACGGTTGGGACTACGAGGGGGGGCGCCGCAGGAGGAGGCGGGCTAAGAGCGCGGCCAGTGCCTGGACAGGCGGTCACGGTGCAAATGGACAACGGGCTGGTGTTTGTGATTAGGAGGCTGAGGTGCGGCATGCTGTTCATATGCATGGGTGGTGAAGAGGGACACGGCAATGGGAAACAGCCAGGGGAGACGGAAGCGAATGGGGAGGGGCTGCCCACACCACATCTCGACCCCGGTCACCAACATCATCTCCCCTTGCGCGCGGGACCACATCGGACACCCACATCATCCTCAGCGATATCGGCGAGGTCAAAGAGGGAAGCGGATCTCTCCGGGGAAAACACGCCTCTCAGCACATCTACCAACACGGGGCCTTCTGCATCGACCAGCCAAAGCAGCAACACCAACGCAGCGAACAGCGCCACGGGGGCAGCCCGGGGCCCATCGGCATCGAGTGTCAGGGCGATGAGGAGGCAGGTGGAGGAATTGGCGCGTTGGCTGGATGAGCGGTTAGGCACGCTCTATGTTCCGGAGGAAGGTATCGGTCTTGGATTCGGAGGGGCTCCTGGAGTGGAGCTGCGCTAGAAACAGCACAAATGACTTGATAAATAACGACTTGGCAATGAGGCGCACATTCGAATACCATGGTTTTTGCAGTTACATAATATCTTAATAGAAATGTATCAAAACACTGAGAGGCACAGGGACATAGCAAACGACAAGGGCACACTCGGGAACGGTAGAACTGCTACGGGCAGTCTGGGCAACCCAACACCGGACTGGTTGAAGAAAGGGGAGAGAGAATAGGGTTCAAACAACAACCCAAAAATGGGACAGGCCGAAGGAGACGCACAGCGATATTTGGGGATTTGTTGGCTTTCATAGAGTGGCATCGATTGCATCATATATACCCAGCGGAAGGGCAGAGGTACCTTACATTCGCCAAAATGCAAGACATGATTTCGGTATTACATCAACTCGGTGACTTTTCGTGACATTCGATTTCGCCCTACGTAGCAAGCCATCTCCCATATACCTACCATCGGATAGTCTTAGGAAATTCTGAAAATCATCGAAGGGTGGTCCCGCCTGAACCTTAGCGGTAGTTCTAGGCTCTGTTGATTGTATGTACACCAGGTCAAGCAACGGGCATGGTGGCGGACCTGGGAGTGTCCCCGGCGACGGCCCCTTTCCCGCCAAGCTGCTCCCCGCAAAACCCCTATGACGACAGTGGGGTTCAGCGCTTATCGGAGCCCAACTCTCATAAGGGACACCTCCGATAGCTCTTCTCCCCCCACTTGACAACTTCCACTTCCCCTTGAACTTTTACAACCTCGAATGTCGACTTAAATCACAACAAGTCACAGACACAGATCCATTCGAGAAGACGATATACAATTACTACCATGGATCCAACGTCCAAATGCCCGCCTCTCGCGGCATCCTCCTCCACGACCTACCCACCCCTCCCCAAGCTCGAGATCCTCAACCCCTCCGCCCTTCCCTCCCACCGCTTCCTCCGCCCAGCCAAGCGCATCAACGAAGGCCCCGACGTCTCGCACTTCCTGACCTCCAAAGCCTACCGCGACATTGGCGTTTGGATCCTCCAGCTCAACCACGCCCTCGTTCCGCGAATCATCAAGAAGTCGACCGCAGCTTCTACTTCCGGGCCCACCAAAGATGGACAACAACAGCGACAACAAAAGGCAGAGGAAGCCAACGAACAACCACCACCGCCACCACCACCACCTACAGATGCCCTAGCGGCCAAGCTCCAGTTGCTACGCAAAAAGAAGGATGAGCAGCAGCCGACGACGGAAGAAATCAAGACTTTCCCTTTGCCTAGGTATAGGGACGGGGAAGGGGTAGATCATCAGGAGGAACCCGAATCGATCAAGAAGCTACAGCGGTTGTTGAAGAAGGTGGAAGCCATCATTGACGAGGCGCCGCCTGATCCTGGTCCGAGAAGGTTTGGGAATGTGAGCTTTAGGACGTGGTTTAAGCTGTTGGAGGAGAGGGCGGATGGGTTGTTGAGGGAGTATTTGCCGGGTGGGGTGCTGAGGTGGGATCAGGGTGCTGGTGGTAGTGGTAGTGTTCGTGAGAAGAAAGAAGAGGAAGAGGGGACGGAAACGGAAACGGAGACGGAGACGGAGGGAGACAGTGACAAGAAAACAAATGAGCAGAAGCAGGAGGTGGTGGGGCCATTGGAAGAGTTGAAAGCGTACTTCCTTGGTGGGTTTGGGAGTGCGCAGCGGTTGGATTACGGGACGGGACATGAGTTGAGCTTTATCATGTTCCTTGGTGGACTTTGGAAGCTGGGTGGTTTTGAGGGAGAGGAAAACGATGAGGATGGGGAGGTGGAGAGGAGGATTGTGTTGGGGGTCGTTGAGCCGTACGTTCACCCTTTGCTGCCCATTCTCTTGAAGGGATCACGATGCTAACGAACTTAACAGTTACCTTCGCGTCATCCGCCGTCTAATTATAACCTACACCCTTGAACCAGCCGGCTCCCATGGCGTCTGGGGTCTTGACGACCACTCCTTCGTCCCTTACATTTTCGGCTCAGCGCAGTACACTCGCCCCATCTCCTCGCCCAACGAACCCACACCCCTCGAGGGCTCCGTCCCTAACGCCCCTAAGCCCAGCGACATCACCAAGCCCACCGCCGTCGAGCGCTACCGCACCGAAAACATGTACTTCTCTGCCATTGGCTTCATCTACGACGTCAAGAAGGGTCCCTTCTGGGAACACAGTCCCATTCTCTTTGACGTGTCGGGAATCAAGGACGGCTGGGGCAAGATCAACAAGGGCATGATCAAGATGTACAACGCCGAGGTACTTAGCAAGTTCCCCGTCGTGCAACATTTTCCCTTTGGAAGTCTGTTCCAGTGGGAGAAGGATCCGGAGGCGGGAGTTCCTGTGCAGAGCGTGCATATGCAGAATCAGCCTGTCGCCTCGGCTGCTTCGGCTGCGGTTACTGGTGGTGTGGGTATTCCTACGGAGAGACCTTCGGGGCCGGGAGGTGTGACGGGAACGGCGGCGCCTTGGGCTCAAAGACCTTCCGGCGGGATGACGGGGACCGCGGCACCCTGGGCTCAGGCTCCTGCGCAGGCCCCTGGTGCGGGAATTGGGGCTGGGGCGGGCATGGCTCCCCCGATGACAGCCGCGCCGTGGGCAAGATCCACGGGGGCGGGGGCGGGAGCGGGAGCAGGGGTTGGAGCATCGGCGGCGAACAGGTTTACGCCATTCAAGCCTGCTGGAGGGCCGGGAGGAGCCCCACACACGGGACCTCCGCCGCCGGAATCGTTCCCGAGCGGAACACCGGGGACCGCGAGTAACCAGTTTGCGGTTACGAAGGCGCCATGGGCCAAGTAGTGTTGTCTGAAGGCAAGTGGCACTGAGGGAAGAGGTGTAGATACGAGAAATGGCTGTTATAGATGAACGATACCCATGACTTTGTCAGCTCAAAAGATGCAATGAACTCATACGGTTGGAATTGTGCGGTGCAACGTAAGCCATCGATCGATCGGATGTCGACGCCAGCGACGCCAAGAACCGTCTGTGATGCCATTCGGAGACTTCGGTGTTGGGAAGATGCGTGAGCCTCTGTGTGACCGTACCGAACGTACCGAAGGCTATCTTGGCGGCGCCGAATTGTACGGTAGTTCGGCACCGTGTTGTGGTGAGCATGATGAGGTACGTCGGTGAGTTATGAGTATTTTTTCCTGTTGTTCGAACAATCCCACCTAAACACAATTTTCTCTTTTCTATAAAGATGTTACACATCTGACATCGAGATCAATTCAATTTTCAAATTGCAGACACCATCAAGTTCACATCCATAACTCCAACATCACTTGGCATAGTAAACATCGCGAGGACAAGGAAGAGGGGGAGGGACCCAAGTCGGCTCCCGGCACGATGAACCCCCACAACCCGCTATCATTGCAAGCCGCGCCATCTCACAGCGCCGAGCGGGCACTGCGGGGAACGGCGCTAAAGCTTTCCATCTACTTCGGACAAAACAGCCCAGTGACAAGGAAGCAACCTCAACGGAAAAGCCCGCAGGAAAGCTTGACACCCACCACAACACCACACTACTGTACACTCCCACTCTTTGTTGAAGCGCTATCCCCGATCCGACGATAACCTGAGCGGGCGGGAGGCCGGATTTTATGTAAGGCATCCTATCCTATCCTATCGTCTCACATCCAAACAAGGCTTTATGCAGGAAGCAACGTCACCTGGACGGACGGACGGACGTGAATTGGTCACACGAGAAAGCCACGAGGTGGTGTCCCGGGTGTGAGACGAGTCTTTCTCTCAAGATAAAAGGTTGAAGAAGGGTTTGGGTTGGGTTGCGGGTTTCGGTGTGAAGCGAAAGGGAAAGGGGAAAACGAACGAAGAAAAAAAAAAAAAAAAAGTTTTTAGAGATCTTGAAAACAAAAGGAAATCGATGGAATCCACGAGTGGTTGTTGAAGATCTGTTTCCACGTGGGAAGAGAGGAGTCTGTGAATGGAGCTTCTTCCCTCACGGAAAGCTGTTGCACGTAGGCTTGTAAGGATAAACAAAGGGGCGGCGGCGCGGGGGATCCATGCTCGCTCAGGGTCTTTTGGCTACATAGGTAATCTTAAGTCTCAAGATATCAGATATATCTTAGACCCTTATTTTATACACTAATCTAGGTGTCTGTTAGGTTCAAATAGGAAGGTTTCGTTATCGTGAAATTGCTGGGAGAAGATATGTAGCGAGGTAGACTGGACGCCGTGGACGAGCAGTGAGTGGTTGAGAATAACATTCCCGTCTTTCGCTGGGCACCACCCACCCCCTTGTCGTTGAAGTTGGAAGGTTGCACCGAGCCATTGATGGAACGCTGCGGTTGGCTCCATCCATGTAACTGTACATACACAGGGCACTACGGCTAGGTTATGCGTAGGCTCTCGCAGGGTAGGTACCAACACGTGTAAGATTGAATGGTAGGGCGCAATCGGTACGTAACGGTTTAGAGCACAATAAGGTAACGGTTTAAGTAGGTAGACTGAAGGAGTAGAGCGCGACGTTCAGAATCTATGCTGGGGCGCGATATCTCAACCAAACAGGCCGTCAACATGGTGATTCTTTCTATTTCTCGCGGCGCAAGTTTACGGGGCAAAGAACTCTAGCATACTGATAATCATACAGCCAAAAAAAAGTTGTAGGCGAGGGGTTCGACGGGTTCTACACCTCTGCCGGCATTAAACTTGTTAGCTTGGTACCGCCATCCTACAGTATTCAGGGTTTTAGATGTGATCTAACGAACCATCTTTTGTACGAGAATTAGAGTTCTTGCCACTTGCTCATCATCGCGCTAACAAGTTTAATGCCGGCAGAGGTGTATGCAGTTGTAGATTGTGGTTCTTGTTGGAAGACAGACACATTGGGCCCCCTTGTCGCCGGTCGCCGGCCAATGAGCGTGGCAGCAGATGTGGGTCACTTACCCGATTTCGCATTGCCGCCGAACCACCAGGTCGTTGCCAAGCACCAAGTTACCAGCCTTTTTCCTCCCCAAACTTGGACCGAGAGAATGTCAATCACTTGGAAAAAGAAAACCATGGAAATCGGACTCAAAGTATTTGATCGAGTATTCTAGTGGACCAGTAGTCTCACCCGCCGCCACTTAATCTGCACACGTGCTACAGTACCTGACTCTCATTCCTTCACTGCTCCGAGCCCTGTGATTGTCCTCTTGTCTTTCCTTCTTTGTTCAAGTTCCGTTGTCTCGGTTCTGTAGTATCCGAGCCGTTGGTGAGCTGGGCCGAGCTAAGCTGATAGCTTAGTACTTAGCTTCAGGGTAGCTTTCCAAGTTAGGTAAAAGTTTACAGACAACGAAGTTGACAGCCTCTTTCTTCTTTTGCCTCTCTTCCTCCCTTTCACCTTTTTTTTTTTTCTCTTCATCTCATACCTTTTTTCTTCTTTCAGACCATCCTACCTACGATTCTCCAATATTCGCAGAGTAAAGTGCGTATCAAGTCAAAGTCGAAAGTATACCCTTATCCGACTTACACGCACACACACATACCCCGGCGCAACAACCATGTTCGGATTCGGCCAGCGCAAGGCCGAAGTTGAGACCACAGCGCAACCCGTTGATCAGCAACAAGACGCCAATGTCGATACCCTCGTCAACGAAGGGCCAACCGGGGGAAAGACGAACTGGAAGAATCTGATTCCGGTGATTGCTTGTGGTGCTGGACTCTTTTCGGATGGTTATATCAACAATGTATGTCTTATCAGTCTCTCTTCACTTTGCTTGAAGCGGAATTACACTCGACGTAAAGCACAAGGCATTTGCAAAATTCGAAAGACGAGAAAATGGAAGACTGACAAGAACAATGCTTCATACAGGTCATCGGCTCCGTCGTCACCATTCTAGACCGAGAATATCAGGAAGTCTGGAGAAACTCGAACGCGAAGAAGTATGTGGGCGACATTGCGTTTGCCGGAACGGTGGTGGGGATGTTATTGTTTGGATATCTGTGAGTTTCTCTCTTCACTTTCGAGGCCCCCAACGACGAAACCAAAAGAAATTGTAACCAATTAACACTGAGAAAACAAAAGATCCGATAAATGGTCACGAACAAACTCCCTCCTAGTCTCAACCATCATCCTTATCGTCTTCGCCGCCCTCGCCGCAGGAAGTTACTACAAGGGTGACGCAGTCGGCATGTTCAACATCCTTACCGCCTGGCGCTTTTTTGTAAGCCTTTTTTTTTCTTCTATTCTACTTTCCCTCCCAATCCTCTTTTCATATATCAAACTAACACCTCCTCTTACACAGGTCGGCCTCGGCATCGGAGGCGAATACCCCGCTGGCTCCGTCGGCTGCGCCGAAAACACGGGCGAGCTCAAGTCCGGTCAGCGCAACATGTGGTTCATCCTCTTCACCAACTCCATGATCGACTGGGGTTTCGTCATCGGTGCCTTTGTTCCCTACGTCGTTTCCGCCGCCTGCCACAACGGCCACCTCTCCACCATCTGGCGCACCAGTCTCGGCATCGGCGTCGTCTTCCCCCTCGTGCTCTTCGTCTTGCGCCTCTTCGTCTCCGAACCCGAAGAGTTCCAGAAAAACAGCATGAAGAACGCCCGCACGCCTTACCTCCTCGTCCTGCGCTTCTACGGCTTCCGTCTCTTCATCGTCTCCCTCATCTGGTTCATCTACGATTTCTCCGCGTACAGCTTCGGCATCTACTCGCCCAAAATCGTCGCCAACATCTACCCCGCCGACTCGCCCCTGACCACCATCTTTGGCTGGAACACCGTCATCAACCTCTTTTACATCCCCGGCACCATGCTGGGCGCGCCCGTCTCGGACCTGCTTGGGCCCCGCTACGCTTTGGCGCTCGGCGTCTTTGCGCAAGCCATAGTGGGCTTCATCATGGCCGCTTGCTACTCGTCCCTCGCACAGCCCGGTCGCGTCGCTGCTTTTGCTGTCGTCTACGGCATTTTCCAGAGTCTGGGCGAGCTAGGACCGGGAAACAACATTGGCCTCATTGCGGCCAAGACGTGCGCCACGGGCATCAGGGGACAGTATTATGGACTGGCGGCGGCCGTGGGCAAGATCGGTGCCTTTGTCGGGACGTGGGTGTTTCCTTATATTGAGGCGGCGGGTGGAGGGGATGAAAGGTTGGCGGCGCAGTACCCCTTTTGGGTGTCGAGTAGTTTGTGTGTCTTGAGTGCGGTGTTGGTCTTGTTTTGCTTGCCGCATATTGGACAGGATACGATCCAGGCGGAGGATGCGAGGTTCAGGGCTTTCCTGGAGGAGAATGGCTATGATACTCGGCAACTGGGATTGAGGAAGGGGGAGGAGATTGGAGAGTTGGGGGAGGCGGAGGGGGCGGAGGAGGTGAGTATTGAGAAGAAGGTAAGTCCTGCTCAGTGAGGAGGGTTTGGATGGTGTTTTGAGGAGGGGTAAGGAATTGTTTTACTTGAAGGTGGAAGGGAAGGTTGTGGTGTTCGAAAACTTTGACGAAGAGGTGGGTTGGGGAGGTAATGGATGATGATTGTATGATTGATATCCCATAGTAATACGAAATATAACACTATACACATGCATATCTCACAATTGTCTGTGATCAGAAAAGATCAAAGTAAACTAGAATTGAATGAGCAGAGTGAAACGCCTATCTACCTACCATAGTAATAAACCTAGACTAGTCCGAAAGGGTTATGAAGCCCCCACAAAGAGACAACCACCAGTGACAACACCTGGAGTAACTCCCTTTCTCCGGCCGTTGTACCCAAGGCACATAACTCCGTATTCAAATGAGTGAATGACTGTCCCATAATGCTGACAACAATAGGAAATAACTGAAAGGAAAGACAAGCAAGTAGTCCTGAAAAGAAAATTGATGTATCCCAATGATGATGGAAAGCAGACCAGCCGGCCCCCTTTCACTTACCGTAAAGCACAAAGCCAGACCAGAACCAACCGATGCAGAAGTGTGTAGACAAAACCATAAGATCCCCCCGTTCCGGTTCACACAAACACCAACACCCTAGTACACCCATACACCCATACACCTCAAGCACCGAGTATGCTGATGTTCCCTTCCATCGTCTTTGTGTCCATTCCCTTCCCAAATGCCATATCCATGTCCATAATATCCAATCCAATCCATACGGTACCCATACCATCCATAACTCAACGTTCATCAGACCTCACACTAACTACTCATTGTTCCCCCCTATGCGACTCATGCACACTCCTAGTCGCACCACTTGCACTTCCATAACCATAACCGTGACCACCAGCATCAGCAACCAACCTCACCTCCCTCTGCTGCTCCCCATACTGCCCTCCTCCATATCCACCACCACCACTTCCCTGCCCGCCGCCCCCGTCCGACCCAATCCCGGCCCTATAACTACCCCCACCATACAACATCTCCATCAGCTTCCCCTTCTGCCTCGTCCTCACGCCCTCGAGATAAACACCCACGTCTTCCAATCCCCGAATCTGCTCATCAATCGTCAAAGTCGAGCTATTCACGCTTCTAACCAGCGGAGACACCAGTTTCCGCCGCAGATTCTCCAGGGACGCTTTCAGCGCCAGGAGCTTATGGTTATGTTCCACCAAGATCCCCTTGTTGCGCACCGTCTTTTCCCGGACGTTTAGCAGAAGGAGGCGGTTCCGCTCGTATTTCTGGATATCGCTCGCTTTGGCGCCAAGAATTCTGGTCCAGAGAGAGGACAGTAGATCTGCGTGTAGTTCTTCCTGCAGGGAACTTTCGCGGACGACGGTGCGCGCGAGGTTCAGGAATTGGTGGTCGATGGCTTCGAAGAGGGCAAAGATGGCTAGGGAGTGCTGCAGTTCGTTGGTGATGGCTTCTTCTAGAACGGCAAGGAACTCGTTGAAGGTGCGCTGGAGAGTGGTCCTTGTGCGCTGTGGGGTGGAAGGGCCGAAGAGGGAGGTGGCGATGAGACCGAGGCGGGTGGGTTGCGAGGTGGAGGGGTCTTCGAGGATGCCGAAGGCGGAGAGGAGGTTGTGGACGTTGTCGAAGAAGGAGGAAAGAGGCGGGGAAGGGAGGTGTTGGAGTTGGGAGAGCTCGCGGCGGGCCCAGTCCATTACTATTAGGATGCTGCAGTACTTCGTTAGTATAATGATTATATGAATGGGAGGGGATATAGAGGGGAGGAGGACATACCCGTCGATGTCACCGTCTACGTTGGCGAAGAATTTAGTTAGTTCAATAGCCAGCGTTTTGAGACTTTCGCTCAACTCGTCCAGCTCCTTGACGATGATAGGTGCCGACGTGAGGTTACTGCTGCGAACACTCTCGCCTAGATCCCATACCGCCACGCCGGTCGCTTGCAGGTCGCCCACTTGCTGAATGCCATTCTCGGAGTAGTAAATGAGCGGCTCAAAGGAGCGCGCCACACCGGCCACCTTGACGAGATCAGGCACGGGGCTCATAGACGCCGGCTGAAAGAGCGAGCGCATGGCGGCATAGGAAAGAATGGCTACGAGGCCCGACAGGAACATGGAAGACCACGAGGTGGTCAACGGGCCGAGCCATTTGCGCAAAAAAGTGACGGCTGTTTCAATGGGTTCTGTGCGTTGATGGACTTCTGCCCTGACCGCAAAGCGGAAGTCTACAGTGGAGTGACGGAGTTAGCCGTTCAGATGTCTTACTTTTCTTATGTCATGATGGATCTCTCATTTGGGAGCTATGAAAGGGTGATGGATGATGAAAGGGAACAAAGAAAGCAAACGAACAGTTATCAGGGCCCTTACGGGGTAACCCCCTCAAAACCATGCCCGCATCCTCCTCCATCGGTTCTTCCTTGATCTTGACATCGTCTTCCTCGATCACCGGCGCCAACCTTTGGTGCTGCTGTTGGCGTTCGGCCTGCTTTTGCAACTGCTGACGCCGCGCATACTCTGGTTCCGGACTCCTCTCCTTCTCGGGACTTAGGCTTCCCGTTGGTAGTCTTGTCCTGATGGCTTTCTGCAAGATTGCGTCCTGGTCCATATCGTCTTCATTCATGCTATCATACTCGGGACTAGTTTCGAAATCTCTTGACCACCCGCCATTCCCTAATCCGCCGCCGAGACCACCGAACCCGCTTAACAAGAGCGGGTCGATAGCGTTGAGACGCGAATTAGCCTTGCGCCAGAAGCCGCTGCTGCGGTCGCCGTTGGCGAGGCGCCTCCACGCTGGCGGGCTGTAGCCACCGTGTGACGCTTCCCCGCCATCCACCTCCTGGTCGCTCATGTCGCTCTCCGTGTCGTCGCTCCGGAAGCCCGAGTGCACTGATGGGTACCCGAACGGTGTCGCCTGCTGGTGATGATGGGGATGTTGGGGGTGCGGAGTTTCGCCTTTGGCTGAAGTAGTCGGAAGGGGGATGCTGAAGAAGCGGCTGTTGCTCCGGCTTACCGGGAGCGAGTGACAGTGCTCGAAGTCCTCCAGTGAATCGTCGAGAAGATGGTCGAGATGCCCTAGGTTCTTCGGCGGGGCCGCCGTTGCAGCTGTCATGGCTGGCAAAGATTTGGCGCGGGCCGTAGCTGATGACGTGGCGCGCGCTGCTGGGGACTTGACTCGGTGAAGAATCTCTGCTGGTGCGGTAGATGATCTTGCGACCGAACGAGGAAAGTCCTCGGTTCTTTTCCTTGTCTCTTTCTTTGGTCAACTTCCTGGGGCTGTCAGTGGAAGTGACGCCGCCACTGCTGATGTTGCTGTCGTTGCTTTTCTTCCTGCCAAAGAATTCTAATAGCGCCGGAAGTTGCTTATCGGCGATGGCTTTCTGTTGATGTTGCCGGTAATGTAGTTCCTTTCTTTCTATCCTTTGCACGCCACCGTCGTCGTGTGGATAATCCTGGTGCTGATACTGATACTGTTGATAGTAGTCGTCGCTGTCGTAGTCGGCGCCGCGATACTGACGCTGATAATGGTTGCGATTCCAATTGCGACGGTTGATGTCTTCAATCCCCTCTCGATATCTTGGGTCTCTGGGCGCAGCTGAGTATGCGCCGGCGTGTTTGTTGGCTTTATCGAGGAAGTTGAAGCGGAAGAACAAGGCCTTCAAGGAGACGAGTTGCGGCAGATAAAAGTAGAGAAAGAAGAGGAAGACGACAAGAGTAGCGACCCAGGCGCTTGGCGCAATGGTTAGGCTTATGAGTGATATGTTGCTGTTGACGGTGAAGAGTGACTGCATCGGATCGAAGTGGCCGTCTCCTTCTGAGGATTTGGGCGCAAGGCAGCAATCGCAACTGGTCGCAACACCGATTGACGCCAATTGCCTGCTTGCGCGGTCGAGAAAACGGGTCGCCGCTCTTCCTAACAAGTCGCTATCGTGGTCGCCTGGCTCTGCTGGTTATGCGCCGCCAATGGTCGTGGTGGTTTGGTCAAGGTATCGGGGCCCTCTTTCGGATGTGGTGGACCTGGTGCCTTGAGATGTCGAGGTGAAAGACGGGGCACTCTGGGATGTTGCTGCGGATGGTGGTGGATGGGATGGATGTACCCTTCCTTCGATGGGATGGAATGCGGCAGCTGGGGGGGCGTTTGGGCGCCAAGGTTGGATCTGGAGGGGGGGAGTAGTACCTTTGCTGAGGAACAAGAGAGGTACCGTTAAAGTGCTTGCAGCGAGATAAGCCAAGACTCTGACCCTGTCGAGCGATCAGATGGGATTTGCTATCTTGGTCGACAAAAAGATGCCTTGCGGCGGCTGTATAGAATGGGGCTAGTGGTCGAGTTGGGAATACACTAGAGTGGGTGGAATGGCATGTGTGTAGTGTATGGAATGTGGTGTGCGGTGGGGGAGGGACAAAGTTGGAACATCCATTCAAGTCCCCAGTTGTCGTCGATGGAAAGTCTCCATCATCTCCACCTTGGAGTACCATCCCCATCCCCATCCCCAGCCCCATCTCCATGCCATGCCCATGCCCATGCCCATGCCCTGGTCCTGTGTCTACCCTCTCCCATGGCGGCGGCAGTCCCCCTTCCCCTCCCCCTCCACTCTCTTCCTTCCTTCTTGTCCTCCCCTCTTCCAACTAAAGTGGAATTCACTCGTCTCCTTCCTCCCCACCACACCACCATCTCTCACAGTGGTAGGTATAGAGAACCCTTGAACGGTCAAGACCAATCGTCCAACGCATCCACCCTCCATCCCGTCAAGCGTCAACGGTCCTCACGCGCGCACATGCGTTGCGGCGACGGCGGCAGAACCCATCTAAACGAAATGGCTGGACGAGGAATCTCCCGTGAGACACACATAGCCAGTAACAACAACAACCCCACCGCCGAGTTCAGTTGACTTCCACTTGTTACAACCGTCTTCCGTTTGTCTACACGTCTTTGTTGATTTGTTCGTTTGTTCGCTACACTGCAGTGCTGGACAGTCCAAAGGGAGGATAGCAGACAACTCCCATTGGGTGATTATTGCCTACAAACTGGTGTTCCACCACATGACAGTTTGTCGAATCGTTTTCAATCTCCTCCGTCTTTGCTGCCAGTGAGCGGTTCCTATTCATCTCTTTCTCCCGTCTCCCCGTCCGTCTTTTGTTTTTAGACCGGAATGAGGTTGCTCCAGTGTGTGAGTGGTTGAGTGGTTGCGTTTGACAAGAGCGGTTCAGTTTCTCTCCCTTCCATTTCCCGACTTCCCTCCCTTCCATTTCCCAACTTCCCTCCCTTCCATTTCCCGACTTCCCTCCCTTTTTTTCTCTCTTCTTTCTCTTTTCTCTTTATTTTTTTTCCCATTTCTTTCTTTCTTTCTTCTCTCTTTCCCTTCCGACCTCCTCCTTTACGCCCTCTTCTATATGCTTTCCAAGCTAAGCCACCAAACCACATACAAATTCGCATATTTCTATCCCCTTGTCAAACATATTCGTTCCCATCATCTGTCTGTCAAAACCAAAACGTCATCCACCTAAGTGGATCCACCAAACCAAACCGTCATCCGTCGAACCCACGGACCCGTCCGATCGTTGTCATGGATGTGGATGGGGCATTTTGAGAGAAAAGCGGGGGCAATTGGTCGGTTACGTATCGCCCCGCTTCTTAGACTTATCGATAAACTGATAGGACGGAGTTCCTCCTCCCCCCCTCAGGTCCATCCATTACGACTTTGTTAACAACGAACGGGACGGACTTCCGAAAGACGACGAAGAGTTGTTGTTCAAGATTCAAGCCTCAAGCAAATCACGTCCATCCAATGACTAGAATTGTTGTCGGGAGAAAGTCCTATAGAAGAAGAAGAAGCAAAACAAGTTACGTACTGGACTGGACTGTGAGAAGAAGAAGACATGGCATCGGTACACTGATACCTTCTCACTTGACTGTGTAACCAAAGCCCTTGTCGAGTATCTGGTCACACCCCCCCTTTCTGCGGTCCTCTCAGTCCAACATCCACGACAAGGGTATGCTTTCTCTTATCAGCTGACAATGGCTAAGCTCAGTCTCCTCTCTTCGGTCTTCTCACGTGAACCAGCTTGACTAGGAAGAGAAAGTGACAAGATGAAGACTGAGAAAGAGAGGGGAAAGATACGGCAATTCTCGGTTAACAATCTTGATGACCAGGGTTGAGCAGGTATGTAGTAGGGCACTTTAAGCCGGTAGTGGTGGAAATCAATAGTACACTAGTGTATATACCGTAGTAACTCGGTTCGTTGTCTAGTTGGCAAAAGTATAGTATAGCTTTTACCAAACTCGCCGAGAGTTGCAACAACAGTGTGGTAATGGACGCAAATGAGTTGGAGAACGAACGAACGTCTCATATGCCCTGCGAGGGGGGGCGGAAGTAGAACGTTAAAAATAACATCAACATCAACAACAACTGAACCTTAGGCTTAAGAGAGGGTATCCAATGTGGATATGTACACCTCTGCCGGTACATGACATGTTAGCGCGGTACCGCTACTTTACATTATTTAGGACATTAAAGGTGAGTAAAGCAGCTATCGTTTGTACCGGACAGCAAAGTTACTGCCATTTTGCAGTTCACCACGCTAACTAACCTATTGGATGCTGGCAGGAGGTTGGTGTACGGCGAGATAAGACATTGATTGACCTCGGTGCGATCAGTACCAGTAACCAGGGTCATGAAGAACATTACTAGTAATAATATCAGATCGTCATCGTCATCGTCATTTCTATATCCGCACCGCCCTCTTCGCTTCTGGGTATAGACATGGAAAGAAATCGATCAAAGTAGAAAAAGAGATCAAAAATCCAACGACCCATTGCACAGATAACATGTGTAACCTTGATGAAACTAAGAAGAATGTATCGTACTATTCGTATAGGTATTGATGTTAAGATCTTCTGTTAAGCACAAAAAGGATCGCTGAATCCGATTAACCCTCACTTCCTTTGTCGTAAGTCTTCAGTGTTGTCCTGCTTAGCAAGTCCCGTTTGTAATTAATCCTACGCTTACTTTTATTATTCCTTTTCCTTCCCGGGTTTCCCGTTTGATTGAAACCGTCGTAAGAGTTGAGTTAAATAACTGACTCCATTATATCCACCACGCGTTACTGTCCTTAACCATATAACCACCGTTCTTTGCTATCCGAGACAGCTCATCTACCAACCAAGCAGTCCATCTACCAAGAAAAAAGGCGCCAATGCAACTCAGCTCAATTCCACCTCCCCGCACGACGGGGCGCCGATTGTCTCTAATCAATCTTTGCGCTGGCCAAGCTCCTCGCCGTTGGGTTATTGATATTGTTGACCTGGTGCGTCGCTGGTAGCCTCTTGTACTTGCTCTGCTTCCTGAGGCGTTTCCTGGCCACCATGACAGGGACCGAGCTCTTGGTGACAAGGTAGTTGGAGAAGGAGCCGAGGATGACACTACACATCACCAGCTGTGTTAGTACCAAATTTGAAAAAACAAGGCAAGTAAAGGGGAAAAAGAAAAATCGGAAAAAGGACATACCCCTTGAGCGCACTCCTTCCTCTGCTCCCCAAAATCACCAGCGTCGGGTTCACATGATCAATCACCTCCGTAATCAGATGCTTTGGGTTCTTGCAATGCAACACCTCCACAATCACCCGCACCTGCAACCTCGTCTTGCGCAACAGCTTGGTCACTCGATCACTAATCTCCTGAACCGCGCGGTATCTCTCCTCCTCGGCCCTGCTGCGCTCCCGGCTCGAGTGCGACGGCGTCGGCGATGGATCCTCGCCAATAGCCGATGAGCTGTTGCCTGTTGATAGCATGCCCGATGCCTCCATGCTCGTTGCTGCCAAGGGAGAGAGGCTGCCCGCGCCTCCTCCGTTTTGTATGGCGCTCTTGCTATTGGCCATTCTGTCGAGCGCTGTGGCTGTCTCTCTCATGGCCTTGGGGTCGTCGGGGACCATGCTTGCTGCGAGCGAGTTGCCGTCGGCGCCGAGAATGCCTGTTTCTTCGTCCACACAGTAAATAGCTATGAGGGTGTCCCCGTCTCTGAGAACTGTGCCGATAGCCCATTCCAGAGCGTGTGTCGACTCCTCACTAAGGTCGGTGGCGACCAGATATTTGCGTGGCTGGTTGTGCTCGTCCTGCGTCTCCTGAACCAGCTGGGAGTAATCGCCACGCGTAATGATTTGGATGGTTCGATGCACCTCGGGCTGGCTGATGATTTGGGTCACCGCGAACGACAGCTTCTGGGCGCGCTTGATATCGGTAAGATCCGCCTCAGTGTCGGAATCCATAGGGGTGCGTGATCCGGATGACGGGAGGTCAAAGCTCGTCGCAGGGTGCACTCCAGGCTTGCGGGTTCGCCCTGACGGTCCGGTTACCGTGATTGCGGGTTCGTCAAGAAGGGATCGGTATGTGTACTGAGGCTGTTGCTTTTCCACCTGAATGCCTACACCATCAACACCGTTAGCAATCTCTCTCTCGCACCATAACGTGTGCAAGGGCGTGTGAACATACGTTCTTCCTCTGCCGCAGCCAATAAGCTCTTAACCTGCCTGTTTCCTTGCGCAAGCTCTGGAGCTTGCTTTGCCTTGGTTTCAGTGGTATTCCGAGCGGCTTTCCTGCCCCTGTCTAGCTCGCCTTCGGACGAACTCTCATTGTCTTCACTACTATCTTCCACCAAAGGTTCCCCATCCGGGCCCATATAGTCCTTAACCAATCTCCCACTTCCAGGCGCATCGTCCGACTTTTTTCGTAGTGTCACTTCTGCCAGGTTACCCCCCGACCTGACAAGAGCCGCATCCGATAGGTGTCTGTACGCGGTATTCATCTTGTAATCCAAAGCTTCGTCGAGCAAGGCACGTCCTGCAGGGCTAAGTTGTCGCTCGGCCAACAACTCGTGGGGCGACTTGGAACGCATGCCGGAGCGACCATGTGGGGACTTGGATTTGGACTTATTCGAGGGTCGCGCTGCCGAGACACCGGGGCCAGGGAGCGAGGTGTGACGTCCCCTCTCGCTGGGAAGGACCAGATTGCTGACGTCGTTGCTCTTCATAACCTCAACCATTGACGAACTCTGGCGCTTTCCGCCCTGTGTGACTCGCTTGGGAAGGGCCTGACCGGTGTGGTTGGGGTTGGTGATAATGTCGCCGAACTGGTAGCTGTTCATCGGGTTCGACCGCGCCGAGGCCCTGGGGCCAAACTCGACCGGCTTGATTCCTGCATCCGACAAGCTGCGTGGGTGCGGGCCCTTGTAGGATTTGGGTTCTATAGGCGAGTTAGGATTGCTGAGTGGCGTTCTGGAGCTGGTGGCGGCCGGGATGTCGAGCATACTGCGGACGGGTTTTGCCGGGCCAGGGGCGATGTCCAGCATACTTCGTACCGGGGCTAGATATGACGAAGCGGTCTTAGCATGAGAGAGCACGGGGGAAATGGGAGGGGGGAGGGGGGAGCCAGCAGAAAGGTGGTCATCACCAATATCTAGCATGCTGCGCACGGAAGTCCGTGGCGTCGTGAAGGGTGAGGGTGAGCGGTCTTCGAACATACTTCCAGCTCGAGAACGCGATCCCTGTCCGTTGGGTCCTTCCAGCAAGGCAAGAACTTCTTTCCGCTCCTCATCTAACATGGCCTCCATCGACATGATCGGGGTTTGTTTACGCGCCATGGTGGGCAAGCTTTGATGCGATACCGGTGGTGGACGGGGGTATTTTCGATCAATCTATAGTAAAAGGATATAGATTCGGTAAGGATAAAAGTCGTTGCTATAGCTGTAGATGCTGATGTTGTATGCAATCTAGAGCAGCGGCTTCGTTGTTTCGGTCGTATTTGACGTGTGAAAGGATGTGAAGATTCCTTCTATAGGTGATGGCGATGTCGTGTAGCGGCGGCGGTGTGGCCCCGTTATACGGTAGGTAAGGGCGACGTGCGTCGTCAGCGTGGGAGGATAACAACAGGAGGGCGATACCGTAAGCTCGCAATATGCCGAGCCAGCATTGTGTTGTGCGAGAGGGGGAAGGACAGAAGGACCGGAAGAAGGGAGGAGACTGAGAGAGAAACGCGCGGTGCAGTGGTGACTGGGGAGGGGGAGGCTGCAACGTTTTCGACTTTGTTGGTCGGGTGAACCTCCTGTGCTTTCACCACACCTGCAGCTAGGCACAGGCACAGGCGCAGACCAGGATGCTAGCAATAGGCTAGGCTCGGGTCTTGGGTTGCTGGGGTCTTCGGGTTCTAGGTCTTGGGTGTGGATTTCAAGGCTGGGCTCGGGTGGGCTTCTCTTCCTGTTCTTGCCAGCAGACTTTCAGTCGATCACCTGCATGCACATGTTGCGGGGCGACGGCTGCCGAACGTGTGAGCGTACATTAGCTGTAACGGTGGGTAGGTCCTGACGGTCCTGACGGATCGACCAACTGAAGTGAGCTTCTGTTTTTCCTTTGTTCTTTTCGCTCGTTTCTGGCTCTTTTCGGCGAAACGTTGGAGGCCGCTCGCTGCTACCTCTACTTGGGAACTGAAGTCGCTCACTCTTTTTGTAAGGGTCTCCCCTCGCCAAGGATCCTTACCGAATGCCAAGCGGCGGCCGATCAGAATACTCGAGTCGACGGGCTTGAAGACGGATGCTGTAACAAACCAAGCGACACTTCAGTAGAGCCAAGACAGACTGCGGGCTGGGCAAGTGCTGGGCAGTGTCACTGCCTGCCTGTGGTTTAAGGTGTACATAAGGCTTGAGTACCTATCCCAGAAACCTGGATGACGGGCCAACTCGCGGCGGGACGGGTTGTTGTGTGCAGTCTGGGCGTTATTGCTGTGTTCAGTTGTTGTGGTTATCTGTTTGTTGCCCTTTTCGGAATTCCGTCATCACACGACCGAGTTGGTAAAAGTTGCAGATATCAAGTAAGTAGAAGTGAGTAATCAGCCAACGCCGCTTCGCATGGGCTGCCACTCAGCTGGGTAATGTTGCAAAGAACATGAACGATCATGTAATTGGATGAAGTAAGTACCCTTTAAATTTAAGGTTGATTATTTGCCTCCCGCCAAGATCTCTGCACCCGCCCGCCCCCAGGTTCAGGCGTTGGAAAGGGGACCTGGACTTTGCGTTCAAGAGCTCTTTTGACCGAGCTAGAAGAGCTCCAACATTGCTTGCCCGAGCTGAGTCAGGGTAATAACCGAATCCCATGCTCGGCATTTCTTGATCCACCAGACCACGCGCTGCGCCGCCGTTGGCTCCACACGAGACAGCGACAGTTGTTTGATGATTCTCTATTCAGCCACAACCTCAAATTGCGTATATGTATGTATGTAACGTGTTGCGAGGACATAGGGAAAAAGCAAGAGTAAAATAATAAATTGAAGTTGTCGTGATCTAGGAGACGTAATTGCGCATGTGATGGATGTTTGCGTACCTAGTCTTTGCCTGTCACACTGCATCGTCCTGAGCGTGATTGGAGCCCTCTTTCTGTGACCGACAAACTCAATTGACGTGGGCGGTTCTCGGTTATCATATACTGGTTATAAATATCAAGTTCTTTCCTCTTACTTCCTAATGACTATCGATGCTGCTCCTAAGCAAACTTCAAAAAGATTACTCGCAACAAGGATCGCTCCTGTTGATGGCTCTCTTCCTACAACTCCATTCGAAACCCCAAGTTATTCGACCTCCTGCGATGTTCGTAATAAAAGTCATCTGACAAGACAGCAAACAACTTCATCATGTAACAAGCCGTGGTATTCAGAATTATGTAGAAGTTCGTATACAAATTGTACAACCCGTGTGTCGATATCTTGGCCGGATCACTCCAGGCTGATATTCACTGCTGACATGTATTCAAACCATATGGTAGCCACATGTTTTGTACGTGGTATGTAATGTTTGTTATCTCTTAATCCAAGAGTCCGGTTAGTCAGGGGTCATTGGCTACCATCAACCTCGCCATAACCGTGACCAAACAAGCCAAGACAAGACACCCGGCTTCACGCAATGAGCCCAAAACCTTTCACCGGCTTTTTCGCTCCATCACAGAGGCGACAGCAGCAGCAGCAGCAGCAGCAGCAGCAAAGTAGTAGCATACATATCCATACACACAAAAAACTAGTATACACCGAAGAAGGGGGTCGGTCAGAGATTGGTTGGCTTCGCTATGTTGTTGGCTTAACAGGGTGTCAATCAATCAAAGAATCAACCTCAGAACCTCTTGCCCTTCAACTGCAGCGCCGGCGAGTTCAAGTTGGCTCTGTTGGCCGTGCCCAGCTTGTGAATCAACATCCGCTTATCCCAGACCGAGCTCCTGCCCTCGACAACAGCCACAATCTCCTCAGCCACGCGGTGCGCAAACATGGTGCGACCGGATCCCTTGCTCGGCTTCTTGTTGACCACATCCAAGATCCACTTGAAGGCCGTGGAGCGGCGCTGGCGCGCCGGAATGGGCTGCGGCACTTCGAGAGAGCGACCACCACCGGCCAGACCCTTGTAGCCGCGCATCTTGATCAAAGGCGCCACCGAGTCGATGGCAACCGTGAGGTACTCGACCGGGTTGAGCGGCAGGTGCGAGGCCGGGGGGTGGCCGGGGATCAGAGGGCGCGAGGGGTTGAGTTTGGGAGGGGGCGAGGAGCGGAGGTAGTTTAGGATCATGGCCATGTCCTGTTATGTTAAGAAAAAGGGTAGTGTGTTAGCTTTATGGTCGCAAAGTAGTTTGAGCAGAGGTGCCGTAGGTAAAGTGGGAGTAATGTGTATATGGGGAGGGACCGTCGTACCCTCTGCGCCTTGCTCAACTTTCCATCCTTCATGAGTAGCTTTGTAGCGTGGTTGACGACCTCCGAGTAGCGGTACTTGTGGTGCAGCTCCGACGGCAGCGGCAGCGTAGGCAAACCGTACTTGTGGCCCTCAATCGCGACGTCGGCCGCCTTGACACCGTATGCGATCTCCGACAGCTGGGACAGGGCGGCAGCGTTCTCCGGGGTGACTTCTACTGGTGGTTGGCCTTCAATACCGGCAAGGTCGCCATTGTTGCTGTTGGTAGGAGGGGTAGTCTCGGTCGAGAATGGTTGTGTCCTTTGTTGTTGTTGCTGGACTTGGACTCTAGGTGGTAGCCTCGACGAGGTGGTGGAATCTGTGATGAGGGTGCGCGCCTGCACGGCGGCGGCAATCGATTGCTGCTGGTTTGTCCGGATGGACAGGGACCGGAAGGCGGCACTGAGACCCAACCTCGCAGGCATCTTTTTTTGTGGTGGTGATGCGGGTGTTCGGTAGTGGTGATGGTGGTGGTTGAGTTTGCTGGTCAATCGGCTTGCGACGACGACGACGACGGTGCGGGTACACACACACGGCGCGGGGGGGGGAGAACGAAGGCGGCGGACGGAGGGCGGGCCGGCTTGGGAGACACCACTCAAACACGGGGCGGACAGACACTACTACGCGCACGCAACGAACCCGCGAAGCAGCCGGGGGGAGGGACTCGAACACTCGTGATCTCGGCGGACTCTGCAATGTTTGGCCGGCGGCAGTGGCATCGAGTGGAGCCCCGGAGAGCGGGACTTCAGGAACAATTTTTTGGAGCCGCCTTTCCGGAGTTTTCCCGAGGACGACGTTGGTGCGCCGCTGCGGCTCAACCCCCCCCCAAAAAAACGACGAGGGAACGCACAGACCATAACCTTAAAAAGCCACCCCCCCTCCCCAGCTCCCCTGATCAACAACCGAACTCCATCCGGCAACTCGGACGTGGGCCCCCCCCACGCGGCAGCGTTCGTTGATCACCCAACCTGGTCCCCTACCTGGCCATCAGTCGTCGTCATCTTGTATCCTTCCATCCTTCCATCCAGCCCTCCTTGTTTGGGGTGTTTAATCTGGACAAGGTCAACATGGTACCTTGATGTCCACCAACCCACAGTCCGCGATCTCCAACTGCAGCCGATCTGGTTCCTGATCCTGATCGGCTGATCCTGGGGCTGGGCCCAGGGAGGGTAGAGGTAACCCACCACCTCCACCAACATGCACCTTCGAAGAATCTACGCAGTACTCTACAAGCCATCAAGACAAGGATGCTCACTGGTTACGAGTCCGAGGTTCGTTTCCTGCCAAAGAGGTGCTAGACCGCCTCAAATGTCTCAACAGCAGCATAGTCGGTTCGGTCAAGACAAGTTGGACATAGCAAGTCAGATCGTCATTAGATGCGGTGAGTTCGGTACAGGAAGGACAGTAGGTAAACAAGCAAGTTGAGTTCTCTACCATACTACATACATCGAACACATGTTATTCCACACTTTGTACGCTCTGCTTGTTCTTGTGTGGCTCGCCTTGTCTTGACTGGCTTTGTCTTGTCATGACTTGCCGCCTCACTCTCGATGGGGTGTCCAATATCATGTCCACCACCTTCAGTCAAGGCAGGAAGCCGCATCGATTTTACTTTTACATATCCAAGGTACCCACTAACGGTATCCTGTTGTGCGGTGCATGATGGGTGGTGACTGGTGATCTACACCATATTTTACTATTCTACACTACACCCCCACGGCAAAGTGCGGTTTTTGTGGACCTGGACGCCTGTAGTAAACCTCTGAAGAAGCAAAGTACTTTGACGTTGAGTAACGATCTAAGAACTGGCTAGCCGCGGATAGGCAGGCGGTCATCCGTCTATTCGGTAAAAATTTCGTCGTAAATTTGTGTGTTTGTGGTTGACCAACGAATTCCGTTTTCTTCTTCGGGCCCCCGCGCCGTATCTACTACAGTCCGCCCATGGGAGAGTAACCAGCTATTGGTTTGGTATGTGGTGCGGTCCCGACCCCGGCCCCGGCCTCGGCTCCGTGTCTTGTATTCCCCTCCGTCCCGAAGCGTTCGTTGACTGAAACAAATTGTTTTACCTCGGTTCGGATATACACTATACGGAGCATGTACGTACTAATCCCAGATACCACAAAAGATCGTGTTTCAGGTTGCACACAATCACCAATTTGAAGACTGTCGAGAGGACTAGATCGGGACTTGGTCATGCAAGAGCCACGTTGAGCTGCATGGGAGGCGCAGTGGTGGAATGCCGCCAGGTGGTCACGGGAGAGCGACCTTTCTTTTACATTGGCTAACCACTTACATAGATTCTTTCCCCTGGTGTAACAAACCTGATTGTCATCTCTTCAACAACGGTTTGGCGTTTTCGTTCTATGCTCCGTTGGTAGAGTTAGGCTTTTGACCGTAGGGCTGCCCAGATGTTCACGAGATCGTCGTGTAAGGCTGCTAATTCTCGAGATCGTCAGCTCATACACATCATTCTCTTTCACGTGTCAACAGTTTGAACCGACCATATGTTCTTGACATTGCAGTCTGGTATTCAAGATATTAAAACGCTCACTCATTAGACCAAAGATGGAAGGAAATGACATAACCAGTCGTCAAAGCAAAAGAGAAGCCCAGCCTCGTAACGCTCATGACTGTCGTTGTACCACTCAGACCGGATCCAGCCAGTCATCTCCCCTCATCCCAAGCGTCGTTTTGAGAAAGTCGCAAAGAATTAACTCCCGAATTTGCGTCTGCCCCCACCAGTCTCTTCCCCCCCTCTCTTCCTAGACTGCCCCAACATCAATCAAAACTTTTGACCAAACTTTCGCGTAGATGCCTCCCTCCCTTGTAATAAGAACCCTCGCCATCCCGCAAATTGTCCCTCCCTTCTCCTAGAAGAGAGACACCCCAAATTGCTGATTAAAATGCCATTAAATCAGATATCCCTCCTCCTTGTAGATTACCACCCAGTGAAAAACCAAAACAGAACAAAAAAGGGTATTAAGTAGTGGCAACTGAAATATGAAAACGAAACCAAAGCCCAAAACAAGCAGATCATAGGCATTTGGTGTCCGCCCTGTTGTGAGACAACCAAAGAATGTCGGGTAAGCCTGTCATCTGACAGATGGAGATCCCTTCTGGTCCCAGTCGAATTCCATCCCCCAACAAATCATTGTCGTAGATATGATGCCACCAGTAGTGTTGGTAGGGAGAAGCAATTCAACCCAGAACCAAGGGACTCGACCGCCAACTTGCGGTCAAGAGTCAACCCAGATCCCTAGCGAGTCAACGAGCCCCAGCATCCTCCAAACTTCCATGCATCATTTCCTCGTATCGACCATGTTGATGATTGGGACGGTGATGACCGAGACTCCAGAGTTATTGAAATCCCACAATCTGACAGACGGCTTTGCTCCGGACGGGTAGAACAAGCAGATTGCCACAGCGCCGCTTTTGTTCAACCCAACTGAACCATCCGTTGGATTCCCCCACGCTCGTCGTAGCCTTGGCTGTCGTAAACGCCTTCGAAATCGATGATGGTTGGTGTGAGCGATTGCTGCTACTCCGAAGCAGGGCGAACACCTAGGTGCAGGGCCGTAGGGTGGTTGTTGTTGTTGTTGTACAAAACAAATCTGACAAAAGAAACGCCGTCGGGGCTAGATATATGGGGGGACACACAAAACGCCGTAGTAAATCAAATTAGGACGTGCAGAAATGCCATCTCAATCATGCCGATCCAGCAGCAAGGTATTGGACGACTCTCACAATCACCAGATGCTACCCCGGCTAGTTGCCGATGATGGCGATCTCGTGCTGGTGAGGCGGCTCAAAGCCAGTTCAGCGGCATCCTCTTTGGCATTTTCGAGGTTCTTGCCGTCGAACCAAAACCTGGCTTGGATAAGCTCTCCGCCTACTTCCACACGGCAAGACCAAGCAGTACGGCCGCCTAAACCAGAATATTAGCTTTTGACATTTCCTAAGCACATAAACGTATTCATTGCTTACCTCTCCGGTCCGAAACAACGTGATATACCGGAAGAGGCATCTGGTAGCTCTGGCATGCGTCTAGTTGGATGATTAGTCAATGGCACAAATAAATAACACATATCAAGATGCACCATACCCGCCAGCTTGTTTTGCCACTGGTTGGTGTTATAAGACATTATGCTGATATTTGGGTGGAGACGTAAGAAATTGTACAAGCTGTGTGCGGGTGTTTGGCTGGAGTGTGTTGATGTATATCGAGAGGGCGGGAAACGAAAGTCGAGGTCGAAAGGCCGAGATTGCAAAGTGTGTGAGGATGAATTATGAGCCGTGGATGATTGTGTGCTCCGTTGAGTGAAGGGATGGCTTAAGGATAGTATAGATGAAAATGGAAAAGAGCGGTTCGTGCTTTATTATACAATCCGTCTACCCTGAGGACCAGTAGCGCTTGTACCGTTGAAACGAGAAGGGACTGATGTGGCGGAAGTGGATTCGAGACGTCGTTGCTTGTTTTTCCCATACACCCCTGGACTTGCTGTTCCGCGTTGATTTCACGGAATATCTTCGATTGTTTGTTCGCAAATATGCAGGAGCATCAGAATTACCACTGGCAATCCACGGGCTAGTGCATCATAAGTACACCAGGGAAATTGTTCCTCAAGCGGACGGTGATCTAGGCAAGGCAAGGACAAAGTACCCCGGACAAAACGCGGAACGGAGGAAACAGAAACAAACGTAGCTACCACGGACGATGGTCGGGGATATCCATCCTTCGTCAAAACGACGGCTAGTCGGTGGATGCTAATTTGCTCACTTGAGCCGTTACGGTCCTCGTCAAAGGAATGGTAGACCTAGACTGTTACCCGGCCTTTCACCTTTCCATTCCGTTTCCTGTTGCTCATCGAGGTACTCCGTACGCCGGATACCATCGTACCGCCTCGTGACTGTAACACTCGGGAGGAAATCATTGGAAGTGGAGTGTGCCATGACACTTGACGACAAAGTCATGTTGCACCCGTACAGACCACGGCATGCTCCGACCTTGTGTGTGCTGCACGTACTCAGCCTTGGTAAACACAGACAGATCGCTGCCGCCGGAGAGCAGTGGCGGTCATCGTGGACGCACGGTAGACGGTGCCAGACCTCCACGTTGGATGCCATGGGGCATTCGTCCTAGGCTGGTCCATGACAGTAGCCAGCCAAGATGCGCCGGAGAAAGCGAACGAGAGAAACCAAAACGGCGGACAAGCCAAAGTGACGCAGTGAGATACCGATGAGACAAGAACAGTTATCCACTTTACGCAGGGTCCTCAGATGTCCGCCAACACTGAACCATCGCGACCGATGCCTCTGGCCCATTGGACGCGAGGAATCAAAACAACAAGTTTACCGTGAGTCGTCCCAACACAATTAGACGGTAAAGTCGGTGGGTAGACTTTCCGAAGGTCTTCCCTGCACTTGGTGGTCGTGGATCAGCCTGTTGGAGGAGCATGTGTAGGTGCCAAGACCACCGAGACTGACCTCTGAGTTGTCAGTGCCCCTACCTATCCATCAGCCAGGGCAGAAGTGGGTAGATCCGCCCCTCCACATGGTGGGGGATGATGTTTTTCTTTTTGTTGCGAAACGCAACTAAATTGAGAGACACGGGATTGGACCAGAGGCAGCGAGCAGGATTCTTATGTTTCAGATCCCAATTCGAAAGTGTCTGTCTGGACGGTCGTCCACTGCCTGTTCCTTTCGACAGTCAGGCGACAAGCTTTCCCTTTTGAGCTAATGACCATAACCTTGGATCAGGGTCGGCGAGACCGGACGTAGTGTATCCCGAACGATCGATGTCCACATTCGTTGCAACTCTTAGCGGCCGGCCGGATCGGAGTTTGCGTTTACGGGACCCAGACTGCTGGGCCAAGCTGGTCACCAATCTCAACCACGATGGAGGTGCATCAGCTATCGGGTGCAGAAGCAAGCAGAAAAACGTACCACATACCATTATCGCTGGTCTGCGATACAGAGAAGGGCTCGAAAAAAGAACCTCATAGCACAGAGAGTACTATTTTATTCGAGACGGATCCGCCGACGCTGTTTGTTACCGGCCCCTCGGGAGGACTCAATCGGCAGTGGCCATCCAGAGCGCCGAGCCACCTAGGTAGCATGCAATGCATGTTGCGCAGCGAGTAATGACATTGGGTGTTTTCATCATCAAGCTCGAAATATAATGACGCCTTGAGCCGGCTAGTGCACCTTGGACGATGCAAACCCACATCGTCAGATTTTCGGGGTTGGCTGTCAGTCAAGTGCAATGTTGTAGCGAACAATCTGCTTATAACGTGCAACGTGCGAGAAAACGGGTTGTTGTTTCATCACAGCAAAGACTGATATCCTTGAGCCGTGACACAAAAGACAAGGCATCATCATATCATGTTAGCGTCATAGGAGTCAAGATGTCCCCGGGATTGGCCGCATGCCTTTCTTGCCATCATACTCTTCTCATAGCCAGGTTTGTGACAGAAAGTTACCGTTGGCGAGAAGCCAACTTGGATCCTCCATAAGCGAGTACAGCCCGGTCTAAGGCGTAAATGTATCGAATGGGCGTTATTCCATTTCAGCCGGTTGTCACGCCTGTGTTAACTCTACACTAGCTCTGGGGAATCGTGGCGTTATGACGCATCTTACTGTAGGGTAGGACTGGAGAAGGGCCCACTCCAGATAGGGCAATGGACCAAAGTTGATCGATCCGCAGTTTGTAGGAATCGACCTGACACGCGGCTCGCTGGTAGCTGCTGGTTGACTAGAGTGGTGTGTCACGCGCGTCAGGAACCTTGAGGGACAGAATCCAAAAAGGAAATAACCAGCAGAGCCGCTTCCAGGATGAGAACGGGATGAGGGCCGTAAGGTCGAGTCCGGAGGCCAGAGCTGTCTGGATTTGGTCGGCCGAACTCGATCGTATGCCCCCTCTGAAGACGACGAATTAGCCGCCTGACCAATGGTGAGCGGGAAATCGGCTTCGTTCGTGCCACCGCGTCAATGTGCGTACCACGCCGACTGGGCATGAACGGCGCCGGGGGGGTAAGAGTGGTACAGTCGGTTAATCAATGCGGAAGCGCACAACCGTCGGCATATGTTTGGTATCACTATGGGGTAGGTGAGTGTTTCAGAAGAACCGTGACAGCTTTGACATGGTGGTTTATCCAATCCCGATGGATATTGGGCCGAGTGGGCAACCGTGTCGCTTGAGGAGCGGTGGCCGATTTTGGAGTCGGAGAATATCTGAAACAAGCAGCTTGTATGGCCTGGGCCCCCAAGGAGCCTTGTGAAAGGCGATTTGCCGGAAGAATGGCGATGGAGCTTTTCAACCGTAGCGGAGGATGGGCGCAACTCGTGGCGCTCTTCCGTGTCATGTCGTCGTTGGGTCAGGAATGACAGCCAGACCTTGGTGGGCGTATGTCGTCGATTTGATGCCGCAGTCAGATCCCGGAGCGTTGGGCTTTCATGCGTCGGCGAAGAACTGTCTGGGAACCCACAGGCCCGGGAAGACTGATGGATTCTTGCAACGGCCTTGCTGCCCCGTCGGGACAGGGCATTCTGGCCAACTTGGGAGTTGCCATGCAGACTAAAACAAGAAGCCGTGAGTTTGCCTCGGTGACGGATACGCCGGTGGCCGTGCTGCCACAGAGGGCGGAAACTGTGTCGTGATGCGCACGGCAGGATAAGTTGGAGAGGCCGCATCGTTGTATGGAACGGCGTGCCAGGGGCGAAGGTGGTGGGCTGCAGACGGCGCGGCTTGCTATTGCACAGTCGACTTATTTGTCCAGTCGCGTTCATGGAAGAGAATGATTGCGTTCATTCACGTTATATTGCCGTCCAGCTTTCAAGATGGTGAAGTGTAGGCGTACAAGACGGGCCGGCCTGGAACGATCTGGAGTCCTAACATGGTTGGCATCATGTCGGCGGCCATCCACGTTGTCCTTGCACAACAGGAGGAAAGGCGCTCCAAGAGTAACAGTGATGTAGCGCCATTGGTTCCCAAACCACGGGAAATCGAGCGGCGGTGGCTTTTCCAGCGATTCATCCTACTCGAGTCGATCTTGTACTGGTGATGTGAAGAGTCTTGATCGCAGTTGGTGGGCATGGGTCGAGGTAGGTAGCCAAGCGAGGCAAGACAAGTTGGACAGAACTTCAAATAAGCAGAATCGTAGAAAGTTCCGGCCTCAGTCTGGCTGGTCAAGGGAACGGAGAATCAATGTCCCGATTTGTTTGTGTGGTGAACGGAAGTGGAAGTGGAAAACGACTAGGTTGACGATAAATCTCCGTCGTTGTCGAGTTCCCTTCAGTTGTGCGGGAGAAATAAATCTCGAGACGCATCGATGCATTAGGGCACACGCTGGAGTTTCCTTGCCATATAGAGAAGGCTCGGCTTCAGGTGTACCTGCCTAACTTACCATGATAGGGCCAACGTTAGTTTTGCAACCCATCTTCGTTGCCGCTTGGCGGTGGTTGAGCAGCCTCGTGAAGAAGGCACGACTCGGGTACGCAGTCCAACGATTGAAAGAGAAGGATCTCGGATGACGGGAGTTTCAGCACATCACTTAGACAACTTGAATGCTCCAGGGATGTAAATTACCCAACGCCCGTACGAATAATACTACTCCGCTGAGACTTACAGTACCTAGGTAAGCTAGTATTGTAGCTGGCTGTTGTACCCCGCATATACAACCGAGGTATGGGTAAGGAACAGTAATCGTACAACTCGATACAAACCAGTAATCAATATTTGAGACGTCGAGTTGCCTCGGCATCATTAATGTTGCATTACCTATTGGGCGGCTTTTACTCACCTGACTAGGGACGGTCCGCCATTTCAATAGTCGGCAAATCTAACCTTTATCAAAACTGTCTTCATCTTATCGCTGATCTTTCTTGACCGTGTTTGAGTTTGTTTCTGCTTCTTCCCTTTTCCCCATCCTCTTTCTGAAGCGTACTTACCGTTGTTGCTTCACCGATACCGCACACAATCAAGATGCCGCTGCAGACTGAACTTACCCGCCGACTCGGCATCACAGGTACGTACTGCTACAGTACACACTCGTTCCCCTTCCAGTCCACATGAGAACCTCAATGGCCAATCGGTCAAACATTCACACTGTCAATCCTCACCTCGATCTCCCACGTTTCATGTTGTTATTCATAACCATACCTTTCGGGACACGACGATTCGATTCTGTCCTTGGGCTGACATGCTTTGTTTCAACTCGCAACAGTGCCCGTCATTCAGGGTGGCATGCAGGTAAGTTCGTTGTTCTTGTCTTTGCTTTTTTTCTTCTTCCCTCCCTCCCTACTGCTGAGGCACACAAAAGACGGGAGCTAACGTGTCAACAGCATGTAGGAACAGCCGAGCTGGCCAGTGCCGTGTCCAATGCCGGCGGCCTGGGTATCATTACTGCCTTGATCTTTCCTGAGCCGGAGGGTCTCCGTCAGGAGATTCGCAAGTGCAAGAAGCTGACGACGAGGCCATTCGCCGTCAACATCACTCTTCTGCCTGCCCTTGTCCCCCCTGACTATGAGGCTTACGCCCAGGTTGTCATTGATGAGGGTATCAAGATCGTGGAGACTGCTGGCAACTCTCCTGGTCCCGTCATCAGCAAGCTCAAGAAGGCTGGCGTCACTATCCTCCACAAGTGCACCACCATTAGACATGCTCAGTCTGCGGTGAAGCTCGGCGTCGATTTCTTGAGCATCGACGGTTTCGAATGTGCCGGGTAGGTCAAGCCATATACCTCATTGCTCCCCTGTTGACCAGTCTTGCTTATGCCACATATCACAGCCACGTCGGTGAGTCGGACATTACCAACTTCATCCTCCTCAGCAAGGCCCGCCAGACACTCAATGTACCCTTCATCGCCTCGGGTGGCTTCGCCGACGGCCAAGGCCTCGCTGCTGCGCTCATGCTCGGCGCCTGCGGTGTCAACATGGGCACTCGCTTCCTCTGCACCGTCGAAGCCCCCATTCACCACAACATCAAGGAGGCGATTGTCAAGGCGCAGGAGACAGACACGGCGCTTGTCCTCAGGCGCTGGCGCAACACCACCCGTCTCTTCAAGAACAAGGTAGTGCGGGATGCCCTCAAGGTGGAGAAGGAGAGCAAGACGGGCGAGTTCTCCGAGATTGCCCCGTACGTCAGTGGAAAGCGCGGCAAAGAGGTCTTCATCAACGGTGACCCCGAGTATGGTGTCTGGACTGCGGGTCAGGTTATGGGTCTCATCAATGACATCCCGACCTGCAAGGATCTCATTGCGCGCATCGAGAAAGAGGCCGAGGAGACAATCAAGGAGAAGGTCAAGCTTTTTGCCGCGCCGTCGAAACTATAGAGCCGGTCATAATTGAGTTTCGACTTGCTGTGCATGCTTGGATTTTGTCGGTGTTTGGGGCAAATGTATTCTTTTGGTTTCCTATTTTCATCCTCAATTTCTTTTTCCTCTCTCCTTGTATGTGCCGTGCAGGTAATTTTGAGGAGTGGGGACTGGTGTTTCGATACATACAAATCCCAAAGCAGTCGCCTGCTGGGGCCAGCGCATCAAACTCAGTAAAGCCATGGATTCATATGACATTCGTGAATGACCTTTTTTTTGGCTTCAGATCACCTTTCAAAACTGAACTAAACTCATTGACCTTCCAGATTACGGCTCTACGTAACGAAAATTGCAAGACGACGTTGACGGCATAACATGACAACCATCAACAACAACCCTAACCCGAAGGTCATTCCTCACGCTAAAACCCCGCCCTTGGGCACGCGATGGAGCGTTCCCGATTTGACTCCAATGGATGGCGGCACTTCATTCCTGAACAGGCCAACCCTTGCATGACTCCACGGCTGGCACGCAATTGCCAAGCCGTTTGGAGAGCCGATGGGTCCTCCCCCGAGTCAAAGGCGGAGAGGAAGCTAGAGAGACCTCGGCATGTGCTCGCTTGGGCAAAGTCGCAGCCGAAACAGTCCAAAGCTGGCATCCAAGAAGAAGTGACCAGAAAGAGTGAGTGATCAGCTATTCTGTTTGAATTTCAAAGTCAAAGTGCGACTTGCGCTGTTCGTGAACCTATTTGCCAACTGAATTCGTGATCAATTACCGTGATACGAACCTGAAAGGTCAACCTAATTCAAACCCCCCTCTGAAAGCTCAAGTAACTTGGAGAAAGTCTGACCGCCAGCTCAGCTCATCTAACTTCAGCTACCTATAACCTGACGGACTTGTACCTGAATAACAACAACCCGCCGCGACATCCGACCCTCTTCCGATCCGGAACATTAAACTTTCAACCCAACCTCAACAACAACGAAACAAACAAACCACCAATTCCAGACACCCGCGTAAACCCGTCGAATTCACATCCCCAAACTATAACTTTGAAGAAGAAAAAAAATGGTCGCCGACGCCCTCGTCTACCACCCCGCGGTCTCGCACTACCTCAAATTCGTCGCCACCACCGTCGGCCGCGACAAGCTCCTGCGTCTCTTGCAGTACTTTGCCCGCTTCTACGCCTGGTACCTGCTTCGCACCAACAAGCCCGCCTCGGCGATCCAGCCATGGGAGACGATGAAGAAGCAGTTTGGCCTGGTGCGCAAGGTCATGCGCGCGGGCAAGAACGTCGAGCACATCAAGGCCGCGGCGGTGGCGGCCGACAGCAAGAACGGCGATCCCATTCTGCGGTACCTGGCGGTCGGCCGCCAGCTCGGTTATGCGGGTTATTTGACGTTTGATCTGGGTACCTTGCTGGATGCGACGGGGATTCGCAAGACTGAGAGCGCGAAGAGGCTGGCGAGGGAAAGCCAGAGGTTCTGGGTCATGGGATTGAGCTGCAGTGTGATTGCGCAGGCGTACACGCTGTGGAGGTTGAGGCAGAGGGAGGCGCGGGTTGATCGCAAGGAGGGCGAGGGTGTAGTGGAGGCCAAGAGGATTGAGGTGTAAGTGCTCCCCCCCTGCTCCCCTATGCTTTTGTTACTTGCGACAATGCGCCTGAGAGACATGATGTTAACGATACTTTGCGAATGTTATAGCGAGCGCGCCGCCAGCCGTATTCAGCTTACTTCGGACCTTTGCGACTTGACTGTTCCCTTGTCGGCCCTTGCCTGGGTCAACTTCGATGATGGCATCGTCGGTCTTGCTGGTACCCTCAGCTCTCTACTCGGCATTTACACCCAGTGGAAGAAGACTGCTTAGAGGGCAGGTTCTACATGATGATGAAGAAGAGTCACTGCTACGCATGAGGAGGAGGAAAATGGGGTCTTGTTGATCTACGATGAGATGATGGGAGGTTCAATGTTCAATGATGAAGATGGATATATCTTTTGGGTGGTTTACTGGGACAACAGCACGCGTAATTTGTTTGACTCATTTTCCCTTCTAACGGTGTCATGTTTGTTGATAATGTGGCAGCCTTCATGATCGGATTTATTTTATTGTTGTTAACACCTTTGCCCATTGACCAGTTTCGTTGTCGTTGATGAAGCCGTTCTTTTCCTGTCGTATGCCTCGCGCTACGGGCCTTTGATTCCTGGTGCTTACTCCGCAACGTTGTGATTGATGGTTTAGACTGGTGAGTTTCCAGACGAGCGAGGGCACGACTCTATGACCCTGACATGTGAGTCTGACTGGGAATGAATGATGCGTGATCAATGTGTGGATCATCACCCATGCCATGATTCGGTTTCATGTCTCCGGCCCGAGGACTTGGGGTTCCGAACCCCGGAGGAGCGGATCGAGGCGCTCCCCCACCCGCCTTATCCCGGTCTGGGGGCCGTGGGCCGCTCCAAATTCCCCGCATGCATCCGGATGGGATGGCTGTTCATCCGTTCTTGTGCCTCCGCAGTCTGCAGTGTGCCCTACCATAATCGGATGGCGTTTGTTACTTAGCATGTTGATGTCCTGCTCCCCTCGGAGCATGCAGCATTGTTTCAAAGTATGAGGCGGATTTTATTTTTCTACAGAGCTCCAATCTTTGCACCATCAACGCCTCCCAAGAATCCCATACGATGCATCGTTCGACCTCCAGCTTACCACGGTCCCTTGTCATTCGACACATGCATGGACATCTTGCCGCAACATTGATAAGGATCCTGCACGGAATGCCCGATCACCCTCTGAGATTTGTGACACAGATTGAACCTACCATCTTGCAAGAGGAAGCTAGTGTGTAGAGCATGAACCACTCAATATTCACCCCAGTCGATGTTTTGCAGGTCAGAAGATCCGGAGAACCAAAGTCATGACGTCTCGCGGCCGGGATCAGATTAAATTGGGAATAGCGTCGTTTTATCCGCACGTTATCAACCTTCTTCAATCTTGACTCTCAAACGTGTTGTCCGCACGGAGCAAGACATGTTCTACCCCATGAAACGCCATGGTCTTGCTCAGAAATCCTTGAAATACGACCACATGGAACAGTCTGGAGCACAGATTCTTGAACATAAGCATCTCTCATATTAAATGAAAAGAGAAAAAAGATCAATTGTTGAACAAAAGAAATCTCCATGAGCGGGCATCTGGAAAGTGCGGGGCTCTATCATGCCTTCCAGTTTTTTGACAGCTTTGGATGAGATCAACATTGTGCACCACTAACAGCCCCAGGTAGTTCATCCATTGCTCCTGTTGAAGGTTTTGCCCCTCGCGTTCAACTTGACACGTGCTTGACTTTTTATTCCTAATGAACTATCACTTCTCCCTCCTCAACCTCCCGGCCAGCCCCTCATCCGCGGTGTTGACCATCGCGAGATCACTGTGCGGGCGGAGATCTGCAGGTACAGTTGCAATCGCCTTGATACAGGGAGCGAAGCACATTCGCTGCCCTGTGATTGACGGAGCTCCATCCGGCGCGGCGTTTGAGAACTGAATAGCAACCCCACCTGATTTTCGATCGCAGAGTCCAGACAAAGCGCTTCCCCTGGCAATGAGGTAAACAATCGCGAACCACGGCAGTGGACCAGGATCCGAGGCAAGGATACGGAGGAGCTTCAAGCTATCCTGGCAGTCGAGACAAATCGGGGGTTGTGGTCACACAATCGATCTTGCTTTTGCTGTTGGACCACATAAACTGACAATTCCCATCGATGTCTACTAGGTTCATCACACTGCATTGAGAGAGACCTTGCTCAAAATCCCATACCCAATTGACCGGTAATTCAACTCGTGTGAGCTTCGTTTGTCCCCAAGAGAACTAAAGATACCTTGGTGCAGTTGCGATACAACACTGTGTGTCATTGCCAGGGAATATCTCAACTGTAACTCTCGCTTCTACCCCGCCGTCACATAGATAAACAGTCTTGCGCCCAGTTCCTAGCCACCAACCTACAACAACAACAACAAAGAGAAGACTCCAAGAAACTAAATCACAAAATTTGTTGATTCCCAATACTAGAGAAGACACCTATTGGACAACCACGGCTCTTTCTCTCCAACAATTCATCCATATCACCAACAATGGCTGCTTCAACTGCTGCCGGGGAGCTGGGGCTCTCCATCACGGGCTTGGGAGTCCAGTATCCTCCATACAGCCTCGGTCCAGACGCTATCGACATTCTCAGCAAGAGATACCACCCAGAGTCCCCAGCGTAAGCTATCTTGGTCTTTTCTTGCTTCGTGCTTGTCAAATAGGTACTGATTTCGCTCTGCAACAGCATGAAGAAGGTCCTCGCCATCAACCGATACACGGGCATTGATCATCGCTCCTCGATAGGAAACCCTGACCACCCGCTCGTGAACAAACCCAACCCACCTACCGTCAATGAACTTCATGAGGTCTTCATGTCCGATGGCGTTCCTCTCGCTGTAGAAGCCTCGCGAAAGGCTATGGCCGAAGCGCGGGTAGTGCCGGCTCAGATCACACACATGGTCTCGACGACATGCACCGACTCGGCCAACCCGGGCTACGACCACTTCGTCGCAAAAGAGCTCGGTCTCAGTGACCGCCTGGAGAAGGTCCTCCTCCACGGTATCGGCTGCAGTGGTGGTCTCGCCGCCCTTCGCACAGCGGCGAGTCTTTGCCTAGGCCACACAGCGCGCGGTAAGCCAGCCCGGATTCTGGTCCTCGCGCTTGAAGTCTCCACGACCATGGTCCGCAGCGAGCTAGAAAGCATCAACGCATTGCAAGAAACTCGCATTGGCATCGCCTTGTTCAGCGACTGCGCTAGCGCCGTGATCCTGTCCAACGGCATTGGCGAGGCACCGGGCAAGCCCGCGATCTACGACCTCTTGGGTTGGGAAAACCGCGTGATCCCGGACTCCGAACACGACCTCGGCTTCGACGTCGACCCAATGGGGTGGAAAGTCGTCTTGTCTCCCCGAGTCCCAGTACTAGCCAAAGCCTCCCTCCAACCAACCTACGCCGACCTCCTATCCTCTCTCAAAGACCAACTCCCTTCGTCCTACCAGAAACCTGCCGATTTCGACTGGGCAATGCACCCCGGCGGCGCCACCATCCTGTCCGGCGCCGAAAGCGCCATGGGTCTGACACCAGAGCACATGCGCGCCTCCTACGACAGGTACATCAACCACGGCAACTCGAGCTCCGCAACCATCTTCAGCGTTCTCAACCGGCTCAGGGAAAAGGACATGGATGCTCTGGCCCCCGGCGGCAAAGTAAAGGAGTATGTCGTCGGTTGCGCGTTCGGACCAGGGATCAACGTTGAGATGTGTATGTTGAAGCGGAGAATGAACGCCCCAGCAAGGACGACGGGTTTGGATACCCCGCCGGAGACGGATGATAGCGAGGGGCCGGGGCCGGGGTCGAGTGCGGGGAGCGACGATGGGGAGTCGATAGAAGGGGGCGAGAAAGAGGAGAAGTTTATTAGTGAGGCGTTGGACAATGTTGAACTAGACTGAGATGGATGGATCACACGATGGGGGGTATGAACGGTTTTCGTTTGTTTTGATTAGCAAGCAGGCTATCATATGTCAGTAAGCAGGCGGGTGTTTATAAAGGAGTCTTGATGTAGTTCTTTCTTCTTCTTCGATACCTTGATGGTTTCAGAGGTTATGGTCGGGCCGGCATTGCTCTTTCATATTCGTAGCAACCCGGTTTTTCTTTCGGCCTTCGCCCTTCTTCTTCTTCTTCTTCTTCTTCTTCTTCTTTTTTGTACGTCGACTTTTACCAGCAAAAAGAGAAAGTAGAAGAACTTGAGAAAGGATTCAAAGGAAGAACAACGTAGTTCGATTGAAGTGTGGTTATGTAAGACGTGACGAAATGTTATAACCCAATTGGGGAGTGCAGTGGTGGTGGTGGTGATCCAACAAATGAGGGCTGACCTACATTCAATACATATACGAGATGGTGTCATGGTGATCAATGTGGCCCATTGCTCGGACTTCGAGTCCTCTCGGATATATATATATATATATATACGCATCATGGGTAGGTATATAATGTAGAGCCATACACATGATTTGTCACTACACCACTTTACTTGCCCCCCTTTTGGTCGAAAGTTTGTTTAATGGACGTTGTGGTTGGGTTGTCAATTGTTTGTTTGTCTGAGCATGCGCAGAGAACTAACAGGACGATTGTCTTCGTCCCGATAGAGTAAGTACACAGTCTATATGCGGCACAGCTTGATGATGTGCCTGTCGTCACTCTGTACTACCTAGTTATGTATGCCCGTGAAGTAGATGTTAATCATTGCTTGCTTTTGGACTTTGCTTAGGATAACACAGAGATAATGAAGTACGCAGTGGCCATCAATCAATTTTGCTTTGACTAGAAGGAATGAATTATCAGCTGCTTTAATGCTTTTAGTCTCAAATAAGACTCTTGACAAAAATTGTCTGAACGCCAAACCCAACGACATCCCATCCATCCCATTGCATCCCATCTCGTCAACCGCAGATTCTCACGCTCTCCTGTATTATTCATTCCCATAACCGCAACCCTAAATGACCTGGACCTCCTTAACTCAAATTAAACCCAGCCCCACTCTTCACCGCATACAGCAGTTTCTCCTTCAGTCTCCCCTTACTCCGATACTGCGGCAACTTGAGCAAATTCACACACGTACTCGCACTCGGCAACCGGTCCTCATCCTGCCCGGCATCCCTGATCGTGAAATACGGTCTCAACTGACCAAACCCCAACAGCGGCGCTCTCGGCGTTGACGTCACATATTTCAGGACCTCCCTCCTCTCCTCGTCCTTCAGCTCATGCATCACCTCCCAGAAGATCTGAATGGTCGGATGTTCCTCCCCGTCGAGGCCGATCTGGTACACCCCGTTGTAGTGCGTGTTGCGACGGAGATCTTCGACGTCGATTTCGGAGCTGTCGCCGCCGACGAGGCGTTGGAGCTCAAGTTGGTTGAACATGGAGAGCCAGCTGGGGTCGATGACGGAGCCCAGACCGCGCAGAAAAGCGCGCGTTTGCGGGTAGGGTTGGCGGACGAGGCGGTGGCGGGCTACGTAGGAGATGTAGAGGGGGCGGTTCTCGTTGGTGACGGGCGTGGAGTCGCCGTGGGGGATGAGCGGGCGGATGATGGTGCGGGTGGGTTCGCCGGGTGAGTTGATGGGGTCGGTAATGGTGAAGTCGAGAGCTAGGTCGGTTTGCACGTCGCCCGTGTAGTTTTTGAGGCTGAGCATGCCTTGGTAGAGCTCCTCGTCGAGTTCGCGCAGGTCGTTGATGTTGGCGCGGTAGCCAGCGGTGGTGGAGGATGACGCTAGGGAGGTGCTACTGCCGCCTGGGGTGTCGTTGGCGGTGGCCCATTTGAGGAGGAAGAAGCCGGCGAAGACGATGTCAATCAGGATCCCCTCGTACATACATTTGCCGATGATTCGCCCCAGGAATTCGTACATTTTGAGCACCTGTTCTACAGCACGCTGTGTTTCTTCCGGTTCTCCTACCCGCATGTTTCTGATCCGATCGATGAGGGTGGGATTTGGGTAGTAGGCGTTCTTGCTGTTCGTTACAAAGAGTTCGGTGTGAGTGAACGCCTCTGTAGTCACGCTGTCGAGGAACTCTTTGGTGACGCCGCCGCCATCGATACCCGCCTCCTGCATTCCAAATTCGTCCTCAAACGTAACCTGGATCGGCTCTTTGAGTCCTTCGCCCAACTCCCACAGCTGTTTCATAGCATCCTCAAAAACTCGACCTCTTCGGATCCGAGCCGTGTGTTTACCCAGGGGGTGCTGGGCACCAAAGCCATTGCGTAGCATATGAGCTCTCCACATGTCTGGGTCGCCGTCTCCTCCACGTCTGCGCTGCTTGTCCAGTTGGATGAACTGTCGGAAGATCTGAACGCGCGTCTCAAATGGGATAGCAAAAGGCATGTTGCGCAGAATCTCAAGCTTCGGGGTGATCGCAGACAGTAAGTGGTTGCGGGCGGCCTTCCTATTCTTCTGTCTGAGCCTCTCAAGATGTGCGTAGTGAGACCACTCCTGTTGATCATCCTCGGAGCTGTCGGCACCATCTTCGGTATTCCTCAGCTCGTGTTGTCTCTGCTCTTCAAGAACCACAGCCGCAAGGAAACCCTCCATGTCGAACTTGGATGTCATCAACCAGTGGCCTTCGGGCAAAAATGGTCGTCTCGAGTCCCGTTCGTAAAGCATCTTCATGGCTGTCGTCGCTAAGTCTCTGAGCGTAGTGAAATCAACTCCGGCAGGAGGAAGGAAGCTATCATTTTTGGAAGCTTGACCGCCATCGCCTCTAGGGCGATTTGAGTTGAGCGTCTCGGCCCAAGGGCTGTTTGTCAGTAGCTCCTTAGCATTGTAGTACATTGTGAAACTGAGGTGCTTGAGAAACTGCGTCAAGCGCTTCAGTTCGCTCAGCGACATTCCCGCCAGACGTAGTCGAGAGGAAGGGCCGCCGAAGTTAGGATGGGGGTTTAAAGTGCTGAAGAAATCATCGTCGTCCATGAGCCGCAAAACGAAGATGTACGATTCAAGGAAGAGAAGAACAGTTTTCCATTCTCGTTGCCACACCGCTTCGGCAGCTGGTGATGACGGCTTGCGTCGAAGAAAATCTAGCGTAGAGTCTTGGCTGGACGCAATCTCTGAGAACACAGACGTCTTCTGTGTAGCATTCCAGAAGTACTTGGCCGTTGGAATACGGCCTTGGGCAGTTGAAATGTCAGCCACATAGAGGAACATGCGAATGTCCTCACTAAAAGCAGGGAAGCAGTTGATCAAAGTCAGGATGAAACCAGCGAGGTAACTGGCGTCGTCATCCGCTGAAGTAGAGGTCTCCCCGGTAGTTCTAAGGTTATTAGCGCTTGAAACAAGTATCAGGCAAAGGAACACTTACGCGGTAAAAGCGCTAAGAAGGTCTTGGATAGCTCCTTTATCAACTAGCGACTGAAGCTGTTGTCGCACAAAAGGATGCAGAACGTCGGATCCATCTTGCTCGGCTTCCGCAAAGTAACCCGTGTCCTTTGGTCGAGCAACGGCAAAACCCGCCCTTATCTGGGCTGAGCACAGAGGGAAGAGTGATTCTAGGGTCTTTATGAAAAGAAGCCTTGAGCTTCGTTGTTCCTTCGCCCCATTGATCGCAATGTAGTGTGCGATAAGCCAGAGGACAGCGTTCGGGTCATGCTTTGAAAGCTTATGCGAGAGGTCAATGATATAATTTGACAGCCGATCTAGGTCTATGTTGGCGGCTAGTCTCGTAATAAGGTCTGAGCATCGCGCCGGGCCGGGCTGTGTCAGAAAAGAAACAACCAAGTTTTGGTAGGCTGTATGTTTGATGGAGTCTACATAAACGGACGGCCACAGTTAGTCAGAGAAGCTTTCTTGTACGATGGGGATAATCCCAACAAATGGTACACACCTAAATCGTGGGGTACATCAAGCGGTGCAACCACCAGACTGCAAATGAGCTCTTGGATAGAGGAGGGCAAACCAGTGTCCTGGCATAACCTTCCAAGTACCTTGTACCACTCTCCCAGAACTTGTCCAAACGTCTTGAAGTCCGACGTCTTGGTCCCGATCGCACCAAGGGCCCGTAGGAAAAGAGCCACCCGAGTCTGCTCGTTTCCGAGATCGCACCTATCGAGAAGCCATCTCTACATTAGCATGATGAACAGTTGTGGAATAATGACTCGGGACCCAAAACCATGAACTGCTCACCTTGTCAGAGCAGCAAGTAGAACCCGCCTTAGTTTACCCAGTCTGTCCCACCCCAACACTCCCGAGCTAAAGGCAGAGAAGTCTGTCTGGAGAAGATCTTCGGTGACCAAAGCTAGCCTGTGACGGTCTTGTACATTAAAAGCTTGGAAGGCGGCAAACACCAACGGCAATGCCTCTGCTGACCTCTGCCCAGCATCAACGGGTTGCGCTTCGTACAGACGGTCGATAGCCTGGCGCCGTTCATCTCGTAGGGTTCGTCGCACGCGATGTCCTCTCCATGTTCGTTGTATTCGTTGCGCCGCCCTGAGCCGGTCTCGTTCCTGTTGCCTTTGCTGACGTTCTGCTTGGGCATGCGCTACAGTTTTGGAAGCTCCCGTCGCTGAACTGGCGCCCCATGAGGTGCTGGTGAAAGGGTTGCTAGTCCGTTGACCGCTGAGGTTGACATTTCGACCTTTCCTAGAGCTACCAGTAAAGGTGGGAAACATGGCTAGTGACTCGAGTGTTTGGTTCGATATTCGAGATTCCCCAACACTAACACGGAAGATCGGAGGGCGGACGAGTGGCGAGAGGAGGGAAGCTTGGGCGTGGAATTGCGCAGATTGATATTATATCGAATGGATATTATATATTTTGGAAAGTGTTCTGATGCGGTGTAGATATTCGGACTTGAACTAGGAGGTCGTACGAGCCGGGATCTCCGCGCTGGAGGTGTTGTCTTGCAGTTGGTCGTCGTGAACGGTGTGGTTGATGTCCAGTGTTGGACTGCAGTAGGTTGCTCATGGAGATGGCACGGCAGTGATGGCAGTGATGACGAGGCGATGGCCGGCTACCTGGCCGTTGTTGGGTTGGAAGCAGCATCCCCGCTGTTTTTGCGTACCTTTCAGGTGTGTGCCCACTGTCACGGTACCTAAATAGCTCGCGGAGTGCTACGGCACTTGCACCTGTCTAGGTACTGCACTAACAAATCATCACTAATCCAGACAATGGTAGGCACCAGTAGAGGTAGATGTTCCAGAAAGTTCAGTCGCTGGCCACCAACCCGAAGCGATGTCTCGATCAACCAAGTGATGTGACATGTATCTCAGCGCGAGCAACACATTGTTTGGGACCTAGGTAGAATAGAGGCTTGCTACAACACCAGCGCGGATTGAATCCTACGACGAGCTTCAGAACGTTAACGTTGGCGCTGAGCATCAAAGGGGTTCTGGTGGTGGATATCATGATTGAAGGTCTAGAGGTACCTCAGCAGGAGTCCAGGTACAGCGAGGTACCTTGGGAGATGACCCCTCTTTCCTTTGTCTTTGTTATCTTATCGCCCGGGGCAGGCAGGCAGGGCATCGATGACATCCATTGGAACATGTGAAGCATGGTACATAGAGGTAGGTAACAATATGGTATCTCGAGCACATTGCTCGTCCGGGCGAATGAAGAGTTGTTTAGGTAAGGATTCTATACCTGAAGAGAATCCTGAATGCTTGTTGTCGTCCATCAACTACAACAGGATGGTGCCTTTTTGATGTCCATTTCAATGACGATAAATACTTCTATGGCCCATGCCCGCCCCGGCCTACTCACAAACACGAAGGCCAGAGGTCAAACAAGCCCTGGGCTGGCAAGGCTAGTCTGGGACAGCCAAGCAGCGTCGTCCGTCAGATGCCTGCTCCCGCCTTGGTTCCTTCCACTTCACTTGACTTCTTGATTGAGTGACGGGATTGTGGTGTCCGCCGTGCCGATTGCTGCGCTAACGGTGGTAGTCTTGATATATGAATATTTATTTGCATACGAGTTCCTTCCTTTTCCATCTGAACCCAGCAACAACTTGGGTCCAGGTGGGACTGGTTCGGGTATTTGTATCAAGCCGATCTTGACATCTTGTTCTTTTCCATGTTAGACTTGACCCGGCACAGGGACCAATCACCACAACGAGACCAACCTCAACAGACAGCAACCGCCATCAGGACCAAAACCTTTTCGTCGAAATGTTAGGATGTGTCATTACGCTCGAACTGTTCGAGTACCCAAGATGTTCCAGACTTTGGTTTTTGCCGCTGGCTAACCAGTGTATAACTGCAACATCCTGGCAGGTCATCCGGCCAAGTTGCCCCATCCAAGGTTCCGTGCGCGGCTTTGCCAACAATGTCTTTTTTGCAGGTGAAATGGACTGCGAATGCTGATATTCCGGACATCCATTTTGTTTCTCTTTTTTTTTTTACGTTGCTTGTGGCACGAATGCAGCAGCAATGCCGTTTGCTGGCGGACTTACAGAAAGGTAAGGCGGTCGTTAGCATTGTTCCATGGTGATGGGACAAATGCCAGCGACCCAGTGCCAAAATCCGGCACACCGCTGTAACCTATCGCATCTCCAACTCCAACCGCCAACTGAGATGGAATGTCCCGTGATTCAATACAAGTAAATCTCGCCAGTCTATACCAAATGGTTGCGGCTGAAACGCAGGGTTTCATAAAACCCTCCAGGGTTCATGAATAAGTGCCCATGTCTGCCTGTTGTTGGCATGAGTCGTCGTCGTCAGCCATGGTCGACTACAGTATGCTTGATATCAGGTGGCCCGGGAGCAAGTGTGCCAGGCAAAGTTGGAAGTCGCACGTTTCGCTGGATCTCCGGTCTGGTCTGCAGTCTGCACAGGTGGATGCATATATGCAAGAATTCATGGCGGGTCCTATTGATAAATCAAGGTTTTGCGGCCCATGCCACCCCGATATCCGCATGCCCTGGCCGCCCTAGCCGCACTTCACTGGCTACGAGGGGCGCGGCACAGTGCGCAACCACAAGATGCGTGGGCGGGAAAGAAAAAAAATCTGACCTCCGCATTAAGACGTGAGCCATCCGGGCGTCGTTGCTTCTTGCCCTCTTTCTCCTCCTCTTCTTTCTTCAGCGAACCTCACGCCCTTTATCCTCAGGAAACTCCTCCAAACCGAAGCCAGAAAGAAGTCAGATAAGTACGAACATTTACCCTCTCGGTCTCTGTTCTATCTACTTCTTGTCTGTGACAAACAAAACCTCACCAAAAAAATTTGAAAATCGCCGAAAAAAGAGAAATCCCCCCATCCATACAAAACCCCATAAAACCCACCAAATCCACCCACCTTTTTTTGGAAGACATTTACCCAAGTCTCCAAGTCCACCAGTCTTCCTCTCCCTCTCCCGAATCTCGTCCTTGACCAGTCGAGTTCATCCTCCCTCTTTGTCAATACCGTCGCCCGTTCTCCGCGCCGGTTTACTTGCTCCACACAACTCTAGATCTCGGGTACGTTGCTCGTCGCACTATCAATTCCTCCTGCCTTGCCATCGTCGTTGTCGTCGTCGCCGTGGCCGCCGCCAGTGCCGCCCGCCCAACGTCACGTCAATTGAGACTTCTCCTCCTCCTCCTTTCCGCTGTCGTCGTCCGGTCGACACATCGGTTACCCCTCCGCGCCTTGATCAGAGACACAGACAGACACACAAAAGGATACAGACGCTGACGGTTCCATCCATCATACAGAATCTACAGTTTAACCAGCAAAAATGGCTGCCACTTCTACCGCCGCTGTCGACCAGCTCGCCGCTGACCTCGGCAACACCAGCCTCGACAACAAGGCCGCTGCCCCGGCCGCCATCGACACCAGCGCCGTCCCTGAGGCCCAGGCCGAGGGTGCTGAGGCTGCTCCTACCCCCACTGCTGCCCCTCACCCCCAGGCTTCCGCCTCCCTCTATGTCGGCGAGCTTGACCCCTCCGTCACCGAGGCCATGCTCTTCGAGCTCTTCTCCCAGATCGGCTCCGTCGCCTCCATCCGTGTCTGCCGCGATGCTGTCACCCGTCGCTCCCTCGGCTACGCCTACGTCAACTACAACACCACCGCTGACGGTGAGAAGGCCCTTGAGGAGCTCAACTACACCCTGATCAAGGGCCGCCCTTGCCGCATCATGTGGTCCCAGCGTGACCCCGCCCTCCGCAAGACCGGTGCCGGCAACATCTTCATCAAGAACCTCGATGCTGCCATTGACAACAAGGCTCTTCACGACACCTTCGCTGCTTTCGGCAACATCCTTTCCTGCAAGGTTGCCCAGGATGAGCACGGTAACTCCAAGGGCTACGGTTTCGTCCACTACGAGACCGATGAGGCTGCCTCCCAGGCCATCAAGCACGTCAACGGCATGCTTTTGAACGAGAAGAAGGTCTATGTTGGCCACCACATTCCCAAGAAGGACCGCCAGAGCAAGTTCGAGGAGATGAAGGCCAACTTCACCAACGTTTATGTCAAGAACATTAACAACGAGGTCACCGACGAGGAGTTCCGTGAGCTCTTCGCCAAGTTCGGTGAGGTCACTTCTTCCTCCCTTGCCCGCGACCAGGAGGGCAAGACCCGTGGCTTCGGTTTCGTCAACTTCACCACCCACGAGGCTGCTGCCCAGGCTGTTGATGAGCTTAACGGCAAGGACTTCCGTGGCCAGGACCTCTACGTCGGCCGTGCCCAGAAGAAGCACGAGCGCGAGGAGGAGCTCCGCAAGTCCTACGAGGCTGCCCGCCTCGAGAAGGCCAACAAGTACCAGGGTGTCAACCTGTACATCAAGAACCTCGGCGATGATGTCGATGACGACAAGCTCCGTGCCATGTTCTCCGAGTATGGCCCCATCACCTCCGCCAAGGTCATGCGCGATTCTCTGATTGAGGGTTCTGAGGAGAAGGATGAGAAGGACAAGGAGAACAAGAAGGAGGGAGAGGCCGAGGAGGAGCAGAAGGAGGGCTCTGAGAAGAAGACTGAGAAGAAGGGTGACCGCAAGCTCGGCAAGAGCAAGGGCTTCGGCTTCGTTTGCTTCAGCAACCCCGATGATGCCACCAAGGCCGTCACTGAGATGAACCAGCGCATGGTCGATGGCAAGCCCCTCTACGTCGCTCTTGCCCAGCGCAAGGATGTCCGCAAGAGCCAGCTTGAGGCCAGCATCCAGGCTCGCAACCAGCTCCGCATGCAGCAGGCCGCTGCCCAGGCTGGTATGCCCCAGCAGTACATGCAGGCTCCTGTCTACTACGCTGGTCAGCAGCCCGGTTTCATGCCCGCCCCTGGCGGTCGTGGCGTCCCCTTCCCCCAGGGTGGTATCGTCCCCGGCGTTCAGGGTGGTCGCCCTGGCCAGTACCCCTACCAGCAGGGTGGCCGCGGTGGCGTCCCTCCCCAGCAGATGCCCCCTATGGGATACCCCATCAACCAGTTCGGCCCTGGTGCTTTCCCTCCTAACACCCCTCAGTACATGGCTGCTATGGGCCAGGTTGGTGCTCTTGGTGGTGGCCGTGGCGGTCCCGCTGGTCGGGGCCCTCAGGGCATCCCCGCCGGTATTCCCCAGGGTCTCCAGGGCGGCCCTGCCGTTCCCGGCTACCCCCCTGCCGGTCGTCCCCAGAACGGTGGTGGTCGCGGCACTCCTCGCGGCAACGCTAACTTCATGGCTGCCGGCCGTGGTGCCTCCCCCATCCCTGGCGCTCCTGCCGACCTCAGCGCTGGCTCTTTCCTCCAGGCTCAGCTCGCTACCACTCAGGATCCTCAGGCCCAGAAGCAGATCATTGGCGAGAACCTCTTCCCCAAGATCCAGGCCATCCAGCCCGCTCTTGCTGGCAAGATCACCGGCATGCTCCTTGAGATGGACAACGCTGAGCTGATCAACCTGTAAGTTTACATGACTATTCTTGACTCTTCCACACATTGCTAACCTGTCTCTCTGTAGGTTCGAGGATGACAACGCTCTTAACGTCAAGGTCCAGGAAGCTCTTGCCGTTTATGACGAGTACCTCAAGACTCAGGGCCAGCAGCCCACCCAGCAGCCCGCTGAGGCCAACGGCGAGCAGGCCCCCAAGGCTGAGGAGCAGAAGCCGGAGGAGCAGAAGGCTTAAATGTGCCCTGAGCGATGGATGATTTCCCACGCACCGGCATAGGTGTTTCTCAGATGTTTCTTCATGTTCTCCATTCAACTCTCTAGGGTCGATCTCGCAACGGGGGGTCCGGAAAAGTTTATTTGATACCACACTTCGCTTGACGACAATTATGATTTAATCTCTCCCGATCCCATGCAACCCCATCACGGTGCGATGGCCGAATTGGCAGTGGATGGATTTTAACAAGTATCTCCAGCAGGTGGGGTGCAGTTGTTCCTTTGAGTGCATGACGACTTTTACAAGCAGTATCTCGACATGATATTGATTCAAAGTCATGCTCATGTATTGACAGGCTTGCCTTTTCTTTCTCTCCTTGTGATGGAGCGTGGTGTCGCATCATACAGGGTTGGCCATCTGAAGGGGTATGATTATGTTTTCCTATGTTTTATCAACGATTTGGCGTTTACGGTTAGGGAGGGAAAACTGGCCAAAAGTGATTATCTGCAATTGGTCTGGAATGTCGGGTTTCTTCAGCCGCGTTTTCACAGAATGGGAGGTTAAGCTCGGGCATCTTGGGGAACACATTCTTTTCGCTCTCGAGACAGTAACAGAGCGAATGTTTTAGAACCCGGTCATCTAACAAAAGTGGGAAGGAAAGGGATATAGACCAGCATCTTCATTGTCCAGACTGCCCATGAGAAATGGGGGTAATGGGACTTCTTATGGGGTTGAATCCCGGAGGAGTGGCAGAAGGAGGATCGAAAATTGTTCAGCTAGAGGGTAGAGATAAGCCAATAGATGCTATCAAGTTGATATCAGTGAATTCTTGATTGTGATGCTGGGTAAGCGGTACGTGGCTTCTGGTTTGTCACAGTCCATCCCTTGAGATTGGACGTTGTTGTTTTATACTGATCGACAGCTTTGAGTCTTTATGTGCTGTCGTCATTGACCTCGGAGTGATGAAATGAACAACGAGTGTCAAAGAAGAAGCAGGACAATACGAAGTAATCCCAACAGAGCCACCAACGAGATATAGGTACACTAATTTGAACGCCATTATTCCATATCGACGATTGAAAATGGTTATGGTTTAAAATAGCATCCGTTCGTCACAGAGATCACAACAACTGAGGCAACATGGATGAGTTCAGCTCGTAACCTACTACCCAGCTAAAATTTCATCAGGATCTATATGCCCCCACCTCAAGAAAAGAGTACTTCTTAATACCCATCATCAACCTCATTCCCCTCTTCCTTCGCCTTCTCCTCCTCCTTCCACCGCTCCGTCCTCTCCCTATCCATCCTCTCCCACTCCTCCCAGAATTTCTCATCCTCATAATAACTAGGCGGCAAATCCTCTCGGTTTGTTCCCCACCCATCCTTACCTATACTTTCTTCCGGTCCAACCACCAACTCCAACAACCCGCCCTGTTCAAAGAACTCATGCGTAATCCAATTCTTGGTGTATTTCTTCCCATTCAACTTGGCAGACTGGATATAAACCGGTTTCCCACCGTTCCTGCCTTGCATTTCAGCATCGAAATTGACGGTTCTGATCACCGCCCATTTTGCTTCCTTTTTCTCCGAGTGGTAGTCACGAGAAGGAGAGGATGATTTGAGGTCCATCCCAGCCCTCACCTTTACCTCCCTGAAAAACGGCGGGACAATCAAGTACGCGTCCTGCCCCGCAACGGGGAAAACACCCAGTCCCATCCCCCACGTGGTGAACGCCCCCATGGCACAATCGTCGTTTCCCGGGATGCCGTTGACGCTGGCGTTGAACATTGTGGGGATGTAATTCCTCAGCCACTTGGAACTCAGGCCTGGACGACCGGCGTAATGGAACTGGAAGACGGTCAGGAACGATTGTTCGTTGCCCATGTAGGCGATCCCGCTTTCATGGTAGTATTCTAATCGCTTGACGAACGTATCGGACCCGCCCATGAGTTGGATCAGCGTGGACATGGACTGCGGCGCGAAAAAGGAGTAGAGCCACGGTGACCCTTCGTAGACGTCTAGCGCCGTGTCGTAGTAGCAGGAGTGCTGGTTTTGGATGGGACTGCAGGTGCGGGTGGGGTGGTAGCGGAAGGTGCCTGCAAGTGTGCGTGGTTGGAGGAAGCCGACAAAGGGCGATTGGATGATGTAGCCTTTTGGTAGGGAGGAGGCGTTTTGGCCGCCGGAGAGATAGGGGGTGTGTTCTTCAGGCTGGGAACTACTGGTGGTGCGGTCGTCGCGGAAGAGGTCCTTTGCGGAAGGGTTCCAGTAGTTACGCCAGTTGGCGCCGCGGTGGTGGTATTTGGTGATGTCGGCGGTGAGGGAGGTCCAGGGGGTTGAGATGTTGGGGCGGTAGGAGGAGGAGGAGGAGGAGGAGGAGTCTACGACTTCGGAAGACGTAGAAGAAGCACCGAGGAGAGAGGGGGACTTGGACAGACCCTGGGATAGGAGGGAGATGCAAAAGTCGTTGTAGGCGTACTCGACGCCGCGGGAGATGGAACGCGAGGCTGGGCCGGTGCCGTTCGTGTCCACGTCGTTCTGGGGGATGTAGCCGCGATCGTGCCAGGAGACAAGGTTGCCGCGGCCGGAGAGACCCCAGTTTCGGGGCTCGATTTCGGCGTCGGAGAGGACGGCTTCGTAGGCTGTCTTCCAGTCGATGTCGGCTGTGAGACCCTTGACGAAGGCGTCGGCGATGACTACGTCCGCGTTAGAACCGCCTTGGGTGTAGCCTTTGCAAAAGGACATGCGACAGTCAGGCAGTTTGCCTTCGTGTCTGTAGATGTCGATCAGGGCCCTGATCATCTCGGTTTGTGCCTTTGGGTCGATGACTGTCAGAAGGGGGTGTTGAGCTCTGAATGAATCCCAGATGCAGTAGAACCTACTCGACGTTAGCATCTTTCTGTTTCCCCTTTCCTGGTTGCCAGACTTACGAGTCAAAGTACGGCTCGCTCGAATTCCACAACGGGTTTTCCCCCGTATAATTCTGCGGACTCAACAACGTCCTATACAGCCCACTCCAAAATGTAGTCTGCAACTCCTCACTGGTCCCATTCGCATCCACCCTCACCACATCCAACTTCTCCCTCCACGCCTCTCTTGCATCCCTTTCAACCCTCTCAAAGTCCCAATCCTCCATCTCCCTCTCCGCATTCTCACACGCCTTATCCACGGACATAAACGACACACCCACCCTCGCCAGAATCGAGTCCTTCATCTCTTCGTCAGGCTTCTCAAACTGGATCCAAGCACCCGCCGACCCCCATCCGACGCCTTCAAGAAGCTGTTTCTCGTCCGTAGCTTTATTCGACTCAAACGTCCCCGTCTTCCTAATCTTGGCACCCTTGAAGTCTGCGCAAAAATAAGCGTGGTAATGCCCTGATCCAAAAGAAGGGCCGTACCGCCCGTCACCCACGATCCGGCCTGTTTCGGGGTCAACTTTGATGTTACCCCTGGAGCGACTGTTCATGAGGTCGACCAGGTCTACCAAGATAAGTGGACTATAAGGCGCCACGCCTTTGGCGAAGCGCACCGCCTCTGTGCCGGGGAAGGAAAAGCGGTAGAGAACGGAGTGGTGGGTAGTGGTCATCTCGGCCTTGACGCCGTTGGTGATGTTCACGGTGAAGTACCCTGGTGAAGCATAGACAGAATCAGGGACGCGGTTGAGTGGTCGATCAGAAAGGGAGAAGTCGCATTTGGTGTAGTCGTCGTCTACACAGCCCGGATGCACAAAGAGCGGGAAGTTTCCCAGAGAGGGCTGGCCGCCCGTGCCGGAGTCGTGCATGTGCGAGAAGCCGGTGATGGGGTTGTCGTCGGACACAAAGCCGGCGGCGTTCTCGGCGGGCGAGGCGGTGTCAGCCACGGCTTTGGCCATGCCGTAGGGCAGCGTGGCACCGGGGAAGACGTGGCCGCCGTTGGTAGTGCCGATGAGGGGGTCAATGAATCGCAGAATGTCGTTGACATCGTGGTTTTTGACCGCCCCGAAGGATGGGCTTGAGCTGGAGTGTTTGCCATAGGAACCGGCGATGTCGGGTGAGAAAGGAGAGAAGAGGAAGAAGATGGTGATGGCGAATAAGACGGCGAAGAGAAGAGCTCTTCTTTTTCGTAGAACACTGGCAAAATAAACGGGTAGTTTGGCTGCCGCTTGGCGGTACGGTGAGTCGTTATTCATCGCCATGGTTCCTGACCTCACCCGTAGTTGAGGTGAGAGATACGCTTCGCGTGGCTATCTCTCTTCTAAATGGTGGTTGTCTGAAGCTCTCGCATGCTATGTATGTGGCCTGTTAGTTATTGACAGCCATTAGGTTGGCAACGTTTCAGACATAAACACAATCTGTTCCCTTGCTTGGATATCGAGACATCAAAGTCAAAGATCATAGTCAAAACATCAACATACCTACACAAGGATAACCAGGGTCCGGAACCCCTGAAGAGACAGGTAACCCATGGCGTCGAAGTTAAGTCCGGGGTTGCTAACTGATCCACTATCAATCAGCCTCTTCGGGACATGGGCCACATTGTGCTAAAATAATAATTTGGGCACATTAATAAAGTGGCGTTCTTGTCAGGAGTGTCAAGTTGAATGGAGGGGAAGAGGACAAGTTGAGGTGGGCATTGGTCGCCAAGACGATACTAAGACCTTTACCGTGCCGGCGTCCGATCGGGAACAGGGGCATGAACCACTGACAGGTATGCTACTGTCCAATAGGAAATCAGGATAGTGGCTTGAAATGGCTAGGGCTTGTCGGTGTTACAGCGCCATGCCTTAAGTTTTGGATGTCCAAAGATGTAAGTTCTCGTCGCTGGCCTTCGAACTGACTCTAGATATGCCAAAGTCGAAGGGAAAGAGGAATGAGAATGGAATGTTCCTCAAGCCTGACTGAATCGAGAAAATGAAAGAACCTCAAGTAGGTAGCTGACTACTTGATAATCACCACTAATGGGTTCATCTAAAGCATCATCATTGTCGTGGTAGTATTCTTCAGGACAAAGTCGGTCCGGTACGGGGCCTGTGAGGATGTGACATCGAAGCAAGAATTTTCGATATCAAAATGTCCATATAGCCAATATGGGCTTCCCTTCTTAACCGTTTCGGCAGTTCGTGGCGCGGCCAACATCCACTTAATCCATATAGCATAGGTAGAGGTACCCTCTCTCACATGCCGCCTACTTACAGCTCGTCACATATCCCCAGATATTCCACGCCTTATGTATTGGTACCTGTGAACATGTCAATACTTCAATCATGACTCGTTATTTTTGAAGACCTGCACTGGTACTAGATGCGAGTCAACAGCTGTATCATAAAATCATGCGATACCATCTCATCTATCCATAGCTTCCGTTAAATGATCTCTTCCTGAACATCACTTGATGTGTCCACCAACTCACCCCCAAAATCTTCGGCCTAGCATATCGCAAGTTCAACCTGACCAAGGTCGAAGATTCTATCTTGAAAACGAGACAAATCATCAAGGAACCTGATCTCTTCCGGCTGCTTCAGAATTGCATCCTTAATACTGGACGCGGCCATAACTTGGAGGGGGTTGCCGCCAAGGGTCATGAGAATGAGTACTACGCGAAGGATGAGTGTGAAGAGGAGGTAAGCACTTACCGGGCCAAGTCTCCCTCTTCCTTTGCCCTCTGCTAACATCAAAAGCTCACCTTCATAACAGTCGGCGACATACCCGCCCTCTGGCCCCGCGACTCCTCCAACCAACTCCTTTCCTACCTGCCTCTCCTCCGGCCTTCATCCTCCCTATCAGACAACTCTCTGGAATATTGTGGAAACTAGTGCGAGGGCGAAGAGAAAGAAGGGGATAACGGACGGAATAAGGAGGGGCGTGGAGAGGTTCGAGAGGGCGGAGCATTGTAATTCATGGGAGGGTATATGCATATGTCGTTGATGGGTTCAGAAATCATGATTTGATGGCAGTCCTTTAGTCTCTGGCAGGGGGGTAAGGACGGCACTGAATGATGATGGCAAGCGACCGAGCTTGCTTAGTGCGCTGTGATTTGGGTACGTTGACCGATACAATTCGTGTTGAGTATGGAGAATCCGTACTGTAGGTATGGTTGGGTCGGTGCTGAATGGGTAGGCCTCCTTGGGATGACTATCGTTAACAGAACGTGAGCAGAACCCGTGGGTCACATGTAGCAGGCCCTGGAATGGCCTGGTCATTGAGCTTGATCGTCCAGATCTTGACTTCGGATGATGATACCGAGATTGTCAAGTGCCTCCAACAAATCCTGTCGTCAACGGATGGGTTAGGGTTGAAGTCTTGAGTCGATCAGCTCCAAGAGTGCTTCGGTATGTACACTACGAGGCAATGGTACGTGAAATTTTCCCATGGCCGTTTGATCTACTCCGAGGATTCCTGGGTTCGTACGTATCGGGATTTAACGGTTGTCATGGAACAGGTTCTCGTGGGAAAGGGCTCCTCTCGACATATGATGTTGAGGGACCGGAAGCCTCATCTGCGGGATTTGATGGATTAGTAATCTAAGGCAGAGAGTATACAAGCTTTGCCGCTTCTCAGTCTTCGAGATGTTTCTTTATAGTATCGAAAAGTTGTCGTGAACATGGTGGACGACTCCTGAATGACATCCCTGACGTCACTTAAATAAAAAGGGTTAGGGTTCTGTGTACGATAAGAGAATCCGGTAAGCCGTCAAGGTGCCTGCCGGACCACGGGAAAGCTCCGCCCGAAGTGTCTCCAAAGTCCAAGCTGAGCTCGAAGCTGACCCCCGAAAAGATCTCCATTCCACAGACCGGGAGCTGGTCACGAGGACGACTGGGAAATTTGGGAAGGGAAAAAGCCACAACAGTTTCTGTTCCGTAATCAACCGGCGGTGTTGTTGTTCATTTTATTTGCCATCAAGTGATTCGTAATTGTGGTACAAACCCCGAGTCAGATGATGGAGATTCTGAACTTTGGTGATTCTTGACCGTCTCTCGTTGGCTTGTTGCCGGATTTGGGTGCCGGTGTAGTCGGGTTTGTTGACAAATCCTCAGCTTCGTGAGCCGATTGCCGGATGGTTGGCAAATTGAACAGAACACCACCAAAAGGTCTTTGGCGACAGAAATGGGAAGCATTGCCATGCGCATGTCCCGTCGGCCCGGGAAATCTTCTTTGGGGGACTTCAGTTGCATTTACCAGAGTTGCCCCGCACCCCCGGATCTCGCCCAGCCTGTCATCCTGCCCCTGACGGCTTCTGGATCGCCCCCGGTCGTTAGGCAACCCCTCCACTCCTCGTTCGTCATCTTGGCTTCATTCATATCATATGCAAAAACAAACAGTTGGGGAAAGTTCCCCTTCGGCCGGCGGCTTATCACAAACTCCTCAAACATCAGCTCGCAACAGGTCATTGAAGAGTAATGTGGGCAATCAGCAGACGGCTAATTCGGCTTTGCCACGAGTACACAAGAACCACAATAAAGCAAAACAAGCAAAGAAGCCACAGACTGCTCGAGGGGGGGGGAGGGCGGCCAGCCAACAGTCGCTGATGTCACAAGTCAGCGAGTGGACATAGGTAGCTCTCCCCGTCCCTGATTATCGATAACCGCTTGTTCAACCGACGACGGCCGAATGAGGGGTCCCATAGCTCCCGTTTTCCCCCATTCTGCAACCCGGGGTTCCGGGGTTGTGCCATTGCCTCGACAGCTTCCAGACAACTGAAGTCGCTTTGTAGTGTAGCATCTGGAGAGGAGGAAAAGCTCCTCCTGATATCATCTCAACGCCTCAACCAGAAGAGTTCCAAAGCAACATTACGCTTGCGTTGACTCCTGGACGGACGATCAGTGATCGTCGCCTGAATGTTGTCTTCCAGGCCCTCTCATACGCCAGGAACACTTCAGCCAGTCCATCATAAAAATGGAACTCCTCGTCTAGAATGGATACCAACCTGTCACGTTGATGGAGGAGATCCCCTTGGCTTGTGAACATTCCCCTGTCATGTTTTCGTGTTCCTGGCTTGTCTGACCGTCTCTTCCCGTCTTCTGCCACTCCACCTGAACCTGAAAGGGAAGCTTCTTATCTTGCTGCTCCTCCTCCTCCTCCTCCTCTTCCTCGGGCTCTCTGTTCTTCTCACTCTCAATCTTCCTCTTCTTCCATTATCTTATACCCAAATACCCAAACCAGTGTTTTGAATTTGCCATCTTCCTCACCGGAACAATACCAATCCACCGAACAGACGACCAAACATCATAGTTGCGTATAAGTCGAGCTCTTTGTTCAACGTCAACCCTCGTGACCGCGAAGCATACATCATCCCACAGCTGCAGAGTGCATAATCTAGCTAGCCACGAAATAACAGCCAGCTTGTTCTCACGATCAGTGTAGCAAGCTTCATTTTCACCAATTTCGCCAAAAACACATCCTACACACATAATTAACCATGTCGACTTTCACAACAAACGGAGCTGGCGCCGAGAACGACGGTGAGAAGGTGAACACCCACATTGTCACCCTCACCAGATTCCTCACCGAGGAGCAAGTAAAGCACAAGGAGGCCACTGGAGACTTTACGTATGTTATTCATCACGTACACCAAATCCCTTCCTGTTGACCGCGCAAACAACAGAGTCAAAGAGAACTACCAGCTAACATGAAACCCCAAAAGCCTCCTTTGCCATGCCCTCCAATTCTCCTTCAAGTCCATCGCCTACTACATCCGCCGCGCCACGCTCGTAAACCTCACAGGTCTCGCCGGTTCCTCCAACACCACGGGCGACGAGCAAAAGAAGCTTGACGTCATCTCCAACGACCTCTTTATCGAAGCTATGCGCTCCTCGGGCAAGTGCGCTTTGCTCGTCTCGGAAGAGGAAGAGCACGTAATCTACTTCAAGGACGCCAAGCACGCGCGCTACGCCGTTGCCTGTGACCCCATTGACGGCTCCTCCAACCTGGACGCCGGTGTGTCGGTCGGCACCATCTTCGCCATCCACAAGCTGGCCGAGGACAGCACGGGCACGAAAGAAGACATCCTCAAGCCCGGCACCGAGCTCGTGGCGGCCGGCTTCACCATGTACGGCGCCTCGGCCCAGCTGGTCATCACCATGAAGGGCGGCTCCGTCAACGGCTTCACGCTCGACCAGGGCGTGGGCGAGTTCATCTTGACGCACCCCAACATGACGATCCCCAGGAAGAGGAGCATCTACTCCGTCAACGA